ACGATTCATTCAGGCCAAGGGGCAAGGCTTGTTGGACAGTCATCCATGGCCTGAGAGGAGCCCGGCATTCAACGCTACTTCTACAGCTACACTCTTTCAATGCGTCTCCTCAGCTCGGCATCAAAACAAACAAATCAACAGTGTGAATAGTGTGAATTGAGAATTGTTCTCCATTGTATTATACATATAATGTGTATGTATATATATATATACAATGATAAATTAATCAATTTATGTTTTACATCCCGATAGCGTCCTCAAATTCCCCAATCCACCTGCGATCCTGCCTGACAGGAGAAGGCCCTGGAGTCGCACTGTGTAGTGGTGGCTGTACGCGCGCCCATGGCTGGCCATGCCTGAGCGTGGTTTTCCTTCGCTTGGAATTTGGAATATCTTGGAATATATTATGAATGGCTGGTTAGATCCTGTCAGCGGCCTGTTTTTGTTGATTGTACTTTCGGATTTCCGGCCTCGGAGTAACTTGAGAGACCCAGGCCTCTCCTGACACCAGCAAATCCCCTGTGACGGAGGTGGGAAGTGGATAGAAGTCTTGACAGAGAAGACTCCATCATATACAGTAGCGCCCGTCCTGAAGATAGAGGATCTTTCCTAGGCTTAGTCAAAAGCTTCACTCAAATATATCTTGAAATCCAGTTGCCAGTCATGGACTCACACAGCGCTAATGGTCGAGTAGCGGTTCTGCTGGGTAGCCCTTTGCAGGAGCTTTCACCTCCCGGACTAAAATGATGAGGCACTCACAGAGGCAGCATGATCTCTTCCATTTTTTCTAATATGACTGTTTGCCTTGCCTCATTTTCTATATACAAAGGGTCTTGACCACTGTTTTCCTTGCCTGCAATGGACCTGCTTTTAACACTTCCTGCCCGCGAAAGGCTACGTTGCAGAGTCGAGCAACCTGCAATTCAAATCAAGATCGAAGGAGATCATGCTGGAAAGCTTGCGTGCATGCGCAGCAATAGATCTCTTCAAAAATAAAAGAAACAGGAATAAACCAATGTTTAATTGAATTTATATATATATATATTTATATCAGGGTTCAGATAAGGGGGGAGAAGTTGTGCAATGGCATTTGGTAGGTACAAAGCGGAATGCATAGGGTGCGCAACTACACAATGCAGTGCATGTTACTTTTTTTGCAACTACAAAATGAAGAACATAACTCTTTCTGGCTCGGAAAATTATTCAAAATCAGCACTACAAAATCCAATGCATCTGAAGTTAAAAAATAGCTGAAAATCGAGAGGCTAACATGATTTTTCACAAAGACATTTTGTAGTTGGGTCTATGCCATCCAAAGTTCCGACCAACATAAATTCTGAGAACATTTTGTAGTTGTCAATGATTGAATTTAGTTGGGTCAAGTGTTGACCCCGTGCAGTTTGTTAGATGGCATTCTGTAGCTTCATGATATGATTGTGTCCATGTACATGTCACGCACTGTTTCCTTTTTTCCACTACAAAATGCTAATGAGATTTTATGTTGGATGCTTCAACTAACTCAACATATACAGCTACAAAATGAAAATGATGATTTGAAAGGAATCAACTACAAAATGAATGCAAATACAAAAAGGGTGGCCCCAACCCCTCCTGTTTGTACAAAAAAATCCTGGCTGGCAATCTCTACTGTAGCCTAAGTCCTCCCCATTTCGTAGCTGAAATTTGAAGGAGGATATATATATATATATATCAATGTATATATATATCCTATATATCATATATATCATATATAATATTCATATATATCATATATATCATATATATCATATATATCATATATATCATATATATATATATCATATAATCATACATATGTCATATGTCATGTTTATGTTCTGAGACTCAACATATCTGAGATGTCCTGAGTACTTGCCTCTGCAGGTGCCACAGCGAAGAGAATTGTGCATTTGCCAACGACTTCTCCAGTGGAACGGTCACTTGCGCTGATCGTATAGCTACCTCAGCGATGACGTCAAGCTGCAAAGATATGCAAAGATGACCAAATGGTTTCATGAAACTATCTCCAGTATTCTCCAGTGCTAAGGCAAGTGCTATCGCAACTGCTGCAGTATCATCTTTCATCTTTATTGAATTTTATTGAACCAGTTGTTGAATCAGATGATGCCTTCACAACTGAGGTCGCTACAGCCCGCAACGCGTTCCATCAAGGGACATCCTCTGATCACACCAGTGGTCTCATCCATGCAGATCTGCCCAGGAAGACCTGCCAAACGGAAATCTCAGCCACTTCCGGTGAATCATCACACGAAGGGATAGAAAATGATAGAAAGACATAGAAAGATATTGAAAGATATAGAAAGTAAGTAATCCATAGTTGAAACTCAAGTTGAAACAGATTAAACCATCAACGAACTTGTGACGGTACAAACTCGAAGCGTCGATCCTGGAGCAATAGAAAACTGTATCGATTCTCCTGAGTCTCAGCAGTGTCAATGAATGGCTCAAGATGGCTCAAAAAGCCATTCAAGTATGCTCAAGTTGTGAAGCACACAAACGCCGTGGCAGCACTATTACACACGCGCACACACACACACAAGCATGGCAGTTCTTTGTCTACTTACACTTCCTTGCTATCTCTGAAGGGTCGAATGCACTGAGAAGAATTGGCTACATGTAAATCTTGCAATTACATCCGTTTGGCTGCTGAGTTTCGCTAACATGAAGGTCACCACATGTCACCACTAGCCACTCGGCTCTGGGTGCTAGCATATGGCACCCTCCTAAAAGCTATGGGATTTGAAGGAAAGATACAGTAATTTGAAGCAAAGCTTTTGCCAGAATGGCAACTAAACCTTTGCAGCCACAAAACGTGGTGGTGAGGCATCATCTTGTGCACTTAGGCCTTGGATTTCAATGTTGAAGGACTCACAAATCTGGCGATGGTCAAACATTGTGCCCCTGGTTAACATCAAAACAGCCTGTAAAATCCTGTAAATCGATATGCATCTGCCCAAATATGGTCCATGGTAGTTAAGGTTCTGACCCCTCCCACGTCTTTCTCCCATTTTCTACAGATGTCTCCGAGCGCTTTGTTTTCTGTAGCAACCAGGCCTGCTTAGATCTGAGGCATCAACCTGCATGAGTTGCTGAATGCATAATGGATCTCCGTCGAGCGGCTTTCCTCAACAGTCAGATTTTGGACTCGATAGCATTCCTTCACAACAAAAAGGGGCCAAGATATAAAACACACAGCTGCAAATATGAAAAATAACGTTCACTTCCTCTTGGTCGCACTGTCCAACTTTCCCCCAGAAAAGGCCATTCATGGAATATGATATAGTATGGTGTTATAAGATGTTATAAGACAAGATTAAAAAAATGAAAAGAGCTCGGGATGGAACAAGCACATGTGGCGCATGGTGGGGCGGCCGGGGTGCGTTTTGTGTATGTTGATGGACGGGTGGAATTCACACTCTTCAAAAGAAGGCCACATGGGCAGCAAGTCTGGATAAGATATCCTGAGCGAAACAGTGGAGATCGAGCAGCCAAGCACAGCCAGGTCCTGTCTCCTCGTTCGACGGATTCCACACTTGCAATATTCTTGCCATATCTTGCCATGACCGAGTCACAGCTGTCCAAAACCGCCACAAGATTTTTGCATCGAGCAAAAAAGTACCTGAGGCATCCAAGAAGCTCCACTTCCGCAGCATCCTTTCGCTCAGGCCTACGCTCACGTTCAAGTGGTCTTGAAATGTGTTGAAACCCTGCAGTAGGTGGTTAACAAAGTAGAACTTTTCATCACCACTCCGACCAATAGATTGTGTTCATTCACCAAAAAAAGGCTCAAGAATCACAAGAATAGACGAAAATCATCTAAAAACCTTGGTCCCGTGGGTCTTGAATCTTGATCCATAGCATGCCATAGCCATCTGTGTTTATCAACTGTTCAAGCTCGCCTGTTGCTCCTGGTAGCTGTGACTTCATCGCCTTGATGATTTAAAGCACCGCTGCCACGGTGACTGCAAGCGACTTCACGCAGCTCAGGGTCAAAGCACATGGGTAGCCACAATTGAATAATGTCACTAGGAGTATCACTCACCGTATCGGCCTGTGGATCTTTCTCAAAATAAGGTACCCCGAAATTTGATGCCCGAGTATTTTTCGAAAATATAGAGCCGCTCCATCAAGGTTCGTTCTTGACATCGCATACAAACTGCAAATATGACTGTCCAGAAATATTTGGCAGGGCCTTGACATTCTTCGAAAACTTCTCAACTTGTTGCTGGACACACCTCCAAGTCCTTCCAGATTTTCCTGAAAGGCACGGCCAAGTCATCCAACCATTGCATGCAAGGTCAACACAATATCTGCCACGACAAGCAACGTCATTACATGTCATTACCAAGCCAAGCATCGGTGGAACCGTCCAGTTTTAGGTGCGAAGCCCTTCGCAACTGCTGCAATTCTGCTCTGCTAGCCCGCCTGGTCATGGAATCCCTGTTTCAAGCTATGTTCACATCACTGGACGTGACTCAACATTCTCTCACGGTCTGACAGGCGCCTCGATACATCTAAATCTAACACTTCGTCCAACATCCCATTGCATATGACCGAAGGACTCCAGTAGCGCTGTGCATATCGTTTCTGGAAATGCTGCAAAACCCTCACGTTTTGCTCACTTTTGGCAAGATGCAGAATCCCTTGCGCCTGCCACGCAAAACCACATCTGAAGCTTCAAAAGCGGTTCGAGCATGTGGTGTTTTTAACATTTTGACGTGAAAATGTGCTTCGCGCCACAACGGCGTGCACTTTTTCGACATCTCATCTTCCAAAAGTGCTCCGAACCTGGTGTGTTCTGCACATTTTGACTTCGAAATGTGCTTTGTGCCACCATGGCGTGCACTCTGCGACATCTCAACTTCCAAATCTGAGCGTGAGGTGCTTTCTACATTTTGACTTCCAAAAGTGCTTCGCACCACACCATTGGAAAAACACGTGGGTCGCGACTTTTCTACCTTTTCGCGCGCCTGCATCTTCTTTCCTCTGACTCTTTCTCTTCTCTGATCTCCTTTCTTCTTTTCTCTTCGCTGACTCTTCCCACCTCTGCTTTTCCATCTGTCCATATTGTCGGAAGTTTGACTTCTAAACTTCCTTCGATCATTCACTATAGTTCGTTGTAATTCATTATCATTCATTGTCATTCAGCTTCGTTCATTGTCATTCATTGTCATTCATTGTCCTTCATTGCCATTCATTATCATTCATTATCATTTATCATCACTCACTATCGGTCCTTGTCATTCACGATCATTAATTGTCATTCACTGTCATTCATTGTCATTAATTGTCGTTCATCTTCGCTATGATTCATGATCACTGATAATCATTCATCGTCATTCATGTCATTCATTATCATCGTTTACTGTCTCTGTATCCGGACTCGTTGTTTATTGTCTTTCCGCTCTTCGTCTGCCTGGCAGTGATGGTCCCGGGGCCGCGGGCCAAAGAGCTTCGTCTGGCGGCAGCTGCGGCAGATGACCTGCGAGTCAGCCACTGCAAGGCAGACAATGTCACGTTGGAATTATCTGCGCCGCAGCTACCAATGCCTGCTTCCAAATGCTGCTATGACCTTGGTAAGGCCCACCAGCATCGTGCTGCCTCGCTCACCTGTGGAGGGGTTCAGGGAGTCACCTTGCTTTAGTGTTTGTCGTTGGTCTTAGAGTCTGCTCGAGTTGAAGCTACTCATGTTCCAGCTTTGTGTTTTTTCCCTCTTTTTTCTCCGCTTCGTCTTCTTCTTCTTCTTCTTCTGCTTCTTCTTCTTCTCATGCTCGCTGGTAACTGGTGGTGATGACTGGTGGTGGTGGTGGTCTCGCCTGGAACCTTCTCTCCTGGAGTCTCTGGGACTAAAAAGAAGATCCTGGAAGCAACTTCCAAACCCAGCTTCCTCCGAACCCCAATCCTGGCTCTGACACATTGGCGCCTGGGGCTGAGCTGCTTGGGGCTGGGGTGGCTGCAGGACTTCCAGCTGGGGCTGTGATTCCGTCCACATGCTGTACTTGGATCCTCAGAGTACAACTTTTCCAAGTTGAGCAATAATCTGTGCCAACTCAGCATACACGAAATGGAAAAATGATGATAATGATGATGATCTCTTTGCTTGCAGAGCGCGAGGATTTCATTCTTGGCGTTCTCCCCTGCTTAACTACTCGTACTTTCGAACGATTACAACTGTGATCAGTTTTTTCATCCTCTGGCGTTATCAAATTAGCTGCACCCCTTCGGTCCATTGCCAGTACAAGTTCCAAGCTCAACATCATTGCAAGCAAGCAGCTTGGCATCGGCCGTCTCTTTATTCAGGTCGATTCTCACTTCTCCGTCAAGGTTCAGAGGCATCTAACCATTGCAGACACAAGACACGCACACATCTCTGAAGAAAATGATGATGGAAAATGCGGGTGAGATCGCGTGAGCATCAAGCAGCATCACACAGCATCAAAGAGGCTATGTGTGCTGGCCGCGTTGCGCCTGGTGTTCTTCCTGATCTTCTTCGTCATCCGAAGAACTTGTCCCCAAGCCATCATTCTCGTGCGATCCAGAGTCATTCTCTGATCCCTCCTCGGTCAGGAAATTCAACATGAGAGACCCAGAAGGATCTAACAGAACAACCAAGACACACTTTCTTCACGCGTGCTCTCTTAAACGCAATAGTTACAGTTCTGTTTGGGCCACCGCGTGATTTGGAAACTATAACAGCGGATTTGGAAACTATGACGGCGAATTCGGAAACTATGATTCGGAAACTAAGGCACGTGATTTGGAAACTATGTGTCGGAAACCATGAGTTGGAAACTATGACTTGGAAACTTTTGCAGGTAATTCGGCAACTGAAAAGAGCAATACGGATGTCTTCCCCTGAGTGATCGACACGTTGGAATCCAGAAACTAGTTAGATATGCCCCCCCCCACCCCACCCCATCGTCAACACACAGTAGCAACAACCCCAGAGATCTCTGCAGCGTAACAACATATAACGTAGCAACAACACCAGAGATCTCTGCAGCGTAGCAACATATAACGTAGCAACAACACCAGAGATCTCTGCAGCGTAGCAACATATAACGTAGCAACAACACCAGAGATCTCTGCAGCGTAGCAACATATAACGTAGCAACAACACCAGAGATCTCTGCAGCGTAGCAACATATAACGTAGCAACAACACCAGAGATCTCTGCAGCGTAGCAACATATAACGTAGCAACAACACCAGAGATCTCTGCAGCGTAGCAACATATAACGTAGCAACAACACCAGAGATCTCTGCAGCGTAGCAACATATAACGTAGCAACAACACCAGAGATCTCTGCAGCGTAGCAACATATAACGTAGCAACTACACCAGAGATCTCAGCAGCCTAGCCACATATAACGTACGAAGTAGCAGGAACGTTAACATGCCCCCCCCACCCCTTCCTCCACACACCGTAGCAACAACACCAGAGATCTCTGCAGCGTAGCAACATATAACGTACGAAGTAGCCGTTTACATGCCCCCCCCCCCCCCCCCCCCCCCCCCCCCCCTTCGTGTACACAACGTAGCAACAACACCAGAGATCTCTGCAGCGTAGCAACATATAACGTAGCAAAACACCAGAGATCTCTGCAGCGTAGCAACATAGACATATAACACACGAAGTACAAGGAACGTTACCATGCCCCCCCCACTCCACCCCATCATGACCTCCGAATGTGCGTTTACAAAAACGTGCGTTTTACCAGCACGGTTTTCGGTCCGCTGGCGTGAAAATGTATGTATATGCCATATGCCAGAGGGGGTGGCAATGTGAAATGGTTTAATGTAAGTATGAACGTGTTGTCCAGAGGGGGCGGGAATTTTGATGTGCTTGTTCATGAACGTGAAAATGTATGTACTTGCCAGAGGGGGTGGCAATTTTGAAGTGGTATAATGTAAGTATGACAATGAACGTGTTGTCCAGAGGGCGTGAAAATCTTGACATGCTTGTTCATGAACGTGAAAATGTATGTATATGCCAGAGGGGGTGGCAAGTTTGAATTGGTATAATGTAAGTATCAACGTGTTGTCTAGAGGGGGTGCAGGTTTTGTTGTGCTTGTTCATAAACGTGAAAATGTATTGCCAGAAGGGGTGGAAATTTTGAAGTGGTATACTGTAAGTACGTGTGGTCCATGATTTTAGAACCGTAGTTTCTGAATCACACGAAATAGTTTCCTAATCGTAGTTTCTGAATCGCACGAAATAGTTTCCTAATCGTAGTTTCTGAATCGCAAGACATAGTTTCTGAATCGTAGTTTCTGAATCGCACGTAATAGTTTCTGAATCGTGCGCAATAGTTTCTGAATCGTAGTTCCTGAATCGCAAGACATAGTTTCTGAATCGTAGTTTCTGAATCGCACGTAATAGTTTCTGAATCGTGCGCAATAGTTTCGGAATCGTAGTTCCTGAATCGTAGTTTCTAAATCGTGTATAGTTTCTGAATCGGGCAATGATCATCCTGGGCTTGCAAGGCCGGTTTTCTTCTCACATGTTTCGCTACACTGTACAATCCCTGTGGTCCCCTTAGATCCCTTAGCACATTCTTCGAAAGTCCCTCCGGTTGGGCCCAAGTCAAACGGCCCGTCAATTCACCCTCAAACAATCAAAAGTGATCCGGATGAAGACCAGGTTCTACACCCCCAAAGTGATGATCATCGTCTGGCTCAGAACCATGGCCTTCGCATGTTCAAGGCCATCGTGGGAGGCTCACAGTTTGAGTGACAACTTCTTGCCGGAAAAAGCTAGTCAGAACTCCTTTGTACACCATATACTTCACAATTACATTAATTAATATATATTAATATCATTAATTACCGTTTATGCGATGTGGAGAAGGACTTTATTTCCGGTGCCTTGAGAATTGGGCATCTCGTCATTGACAGAGTCGAGCGCAACACAAATCAAGTCCAAGAAGTCGTCCGGATCCAGCTCCTCAGAGACAGGTTCGAAATGGAATCGAAAGATTTCGAAAGGTTCAGACAGGTGCAACACATGCCACGGAGAAGGGCTTGGATTGCTCAGGGCGAAGGCTACTGAGTTCTGGTTCGGGTCCGAGTTGAGAGTTTGTCACTTGTAGGACCATTTTAGGAGTCCATGATTTTTCACCCAAGTTGCAGCTGCGAGTTCCAGGTAGTTGATAGGCAGTTCCAGCACTCGCATGAGAACCTTACATGCGAAGTATTGCGAAGCAATCTCCGCAGAGATAAAACTGATAAAACGAATGCTGACAGAATCTGACAGAAAACACCAGCTGGCCTCATATGCAGAGAGCCCTACATCACTCGCCAACGTTTCCTCAGGCTCAGTCTGCTTGGTCTGCTCGCGGCTTTCACATGCTTTCACAACGATGGATGCGAAGGCAACGGACACTTCATTTTTGGCAGCGCTTCATGTTTAGTTTGCTGGCCTACCTCATCAGGGAAGTCACTACATAGAGGACAAAGCACAAGATCAATTGGCAGAGGTGGAGGGGTACAACAAGAGCGCAACAAAGATATTCAAAGACCTTCCAACAACTGGTAACCAAGTCGGAACCCCACAGTCACAAACCAAGTCACGCAAATGTCTGCAAATCCTTCCACAAGCTCTTCGTCCTGCAACAGAATCTACACTCCAATTCGTCAAGCATTGTGAAGCCAAGTCATGATAGCTGGGTGAATCCTTTGGTGTCATTGCTTTCATGATATTCAAACATTTCGGCTGGTCGAAACAAGCTCGCTGTGCAGCCGCTTAGTAGCCCTTGCTCCTGCAACAACTCACAAGCCGCTTGCATTGTTTCTGAACCACGACCTTGCAGCACCTGGCGACCAGCGACGGTTGGTCTCCGCAAAGCAAGAGCAATGTATCTCCGCTTTTTAAGATAGGCGGTCACAGGGTACAATTTGTACCAATTTGTACCAATTTGTACAGTAATTGTGGTCCCGTCCGCCATCAAAACTCGAACTTCAAACCCTTCTGCCTCCATCACAAAGCCTCGCAGTATGCTTCTGAGAAAGTCCCAAGCTGCATCATCTGCACCTTAAGATTTGCATCAGCAATCATAAGAATCAGAAGCGAGAAGCAGCCAGAAGCGGCCAGAAGCGGCCAGAAGCGGCCAGAAGCGGCCAGAAGCGGCCAGAAGCGGCCAGAAGCGGCCAGAAGCGGCCAGAAGCGGCCAGAAGCGGCCAGAAGCAGCCAGAAGCCACAAACAGCATCACTACATCACTGCGTTACTTTTCCGTTTGCTTGATCAGCTCCACCACATCTGCAGGCAAGAGACCAAATGCACTGGGTGCAGCTGCCAAGTGCATTGGTGCTGACGCGCAAAGGCTTGCAGCTGCTTGAAAGCCTTGAAAACTGAGAAAATGTACATCCCTTCACAGGTAGTGATGCAAGCTGCTTCTGTTCTCCCTTTCTTCTTTCTCCAAGTTACCCGGAAAGTTGTCTTGGAAACGCTGGCTTGCACTAGATAAAGAAGACGGTTGCACAATCTCACTCAAGGGCTAGGGAAATGAATGTCTTTCAAGCAGTGTGCAGCCAAGAAGCCGTTGTGCTCGTCGAACCAGGATTCCACGAGCGCAACCTGAATTGGTTCTCCCAAAAAAATGAAATGTCTTGACATGTCCGGACCATCTGCAGAGTCTGCGCCTGTATCACAAACGTGTCCATGATGCCCGTCATGGGCTCATCATCAGGTTCTCCCTCAGCCTCAGGTGCCCATGGATGCTCAAGTTGCAGTGCGTGACTACAGCGCAAGTGACTACTAGTGCCAGTTCAAATGTAGTGTGGGTATGGGTGGATGCGAGATTGTTCGCAAGGGATTGCAGGGGCTATTCAGATGACTGCAAAGAGGCAAAGAAGTTCTTGGGACGGCAATGGTAAACTTGGACCCCGGGAGACATGGGCTGCTGCCAAACAACTAACAGGCTCCATGTGATGATTCCCGTGGAGCTGTCCAGGTGCAAGCACTTTGGAAGGACTCCTAAAAGGAAAGCAAAGACGGGGAAAATGGGAAAATTTGAATGGATGATATGGATGTTCTATTTCAGACAACCATTTCAAGATCTCGGTCCTTGCACCGTGAAAACCAAGCGAGCTTCTGCCTTCGGACCCGCCTAACAAGAAGCTATATAGAGAGTTGAGAAGGTTGAGACATCCCACGTTCTGAATCACACTGGTGCGAAATGATGCAACATATATATGTCAACTGCCGTGTCCAATCATGATGTGTTCTGATGTCGAGACACAAATGCCTTGTCCAAAAGAACCACCTCTCGTGCTCCGGTTGTTGACGTCTCACGCAGCACCTGCAGCAACATATCAAACGTTATCAAACTATATAGTCAACTTTCACAACAGAATGCGACAAAGGCGATAAAGTGTGACACAAAAGCACAGTGCGTGCACATCGCGCAAGGCTGGAAAATCCATCAAGTAGCAAGCGAGAGACAACTTGCGGGGAGAAATTCTCAAGCATCTCGTCATCCCCAGGAAGTATACAGGTCCACTCAGGGTACTGCAAGTGTAGCGTGCCTTGGGTTCATCATGGTTCATCATATGCATGACAATGTTCAGCCTGATCGACCATGTCTGAGGCAAGGTGCAAACTGCTGCTGGCTTTTCTTCTGCTTCCTCCTCTTCTGGATCTTCTTGAACTTGCTTGACGAATGGTTGGCTCCAATTCGTCTGTCCAAAAGCATTCCTGCCAAGCGGAAATGCAGGGGATTGCAGAAATGACTTCACCAAGCCTTTGAAGCCATCAGGGCCATCTGCACTCAAGCAGTGGTCACTACTCTCACTTTGAACCTTCCAGATCTTTCAAATGGCAAAATAGAAGTGACGCATGCATTTGCCTCATTGACATCTGAAGGCGAACTCTGACAGCCGTCATATCTCGGCAGCATTTTGGTAGCGCAATCATTCCGACGCCTGAGTGACAAGGCATTGAAGTTAAAAAGCGTTTGCTGAAGTTTGCTGCTGCACTTTTCATCTGAGGCGGCAGACAGCTGGCTTCATTGGTCTTGGCGCAAGCCTACGAAAGTGCAGTGAAGTGTAACAATAGCTGCAGGCGATGCTCAGTGGCACACCTTGTTGCAGTATGTCTTGCCCTGGAGAGCATCAGTCAACCACGGAATATGAGGTTTGCGCCTTTGACATCAAATCGCTGGGAGTGGTATCTCGGGCCTTAGCCAGATCTATCCGTTCGGATTCGTTCGGCCATTGGCAGTGCGCTCGGTGTGTTTGTGTTTCGTCCGCAAAAGAAACAATTTCCTCAGGGAATGACATCTGCGGTGGGATGGCTTGAGTAGTGACCATAAAGTGTCCGCAAGTCGCTCGCCGGCACCCAAAACACAGGAATACCACCTAGCCAGTCCGAAGATAAAAGAAACGTATATCATCATATATCATACTATCATACATAACTTCCAGAAGACAACTAGTACAAGGATGTACAAGGCAGTTGACAACTTTCCACTTCTGCCTATGACATTGTCGATGTCCTCGGAGTCATCCCCAGCCTGGACTTTTACCCGACATTCTGACTAGCTAAAGATTCGTTTAACGATTGGTAACGTCCCATGTCATTTCGTGACCTTACAGGTTGTAGGCTGTTAAACAGAGGACGCCTCTGGCACTTCCTCTTCTGGGTTTTGCCGCTCTGCGCGTTTCACATCCAAACATGCCCAAAGAAGGCCTCATCCGGTCAGTTGGGCTAAGCTTCTGGATTCAAACTGTTTCCTGCAAAGATGCATTCGACCAACAAATGTGAGGTCTTTTACATTGAGTTTTCATTTATATTATATTATATTATATATTAATATATTAGATTGTGTAGTAACATTTTTTAACGTGCCTTTGCAGCTTCTCGCCAGCAAGCTCCACTGGAAGTTGATGCATAGCATGTCGCCGGAAACACCTCGGCAGCGGCTCACAGCTCCCTGAAGCTCCCTGTCTATCTCCCAGATGCTTGCCAGCCGAACTCACAATAGGAGAAACTGGATCAAGCTCACAGCAAGATTGATTGAGATGGATTGACAGACATCAGTGATATTCAATGATCAAAAGAATCAAAATCATCTTTGAGATCTGCTAAGAGCAGTACCAAAAATATTGAGATTCCACGGCATCGCTGGCAAGTCTTGTGAGAAAGTGCTCGATGGCTTCGAATGCACTGGATCAAACTTGAAAATATCGCTGGCAACTCCTTAGCGAAGCCCTCGACAAGGGCATAACAAGTAGCGTCAACACAAAAATGTCAATTGCGTAGCGGCAAAGCTGGCAAAGGTCAATGAAAGTTTCATGACATTTCATGCACAGCAGTCAGCCAAGCAACGTTCTGCTGACAAGCGAAACCGTACTTCCTGAGGGTGAAGTCTCCTTGCAGTGGTCATCTTCGTGCAGCAATGTTCTACTGTTTCCACTGAAAGCCAGCCCACACATGCCCAAATCGGTCGTTATGAGTCATGAGATGCTATGACACCTTGGCGGGAATCTTCAGGGACACCAAAGCAGAGCAAAAGACGAAGGAGTGTCTTAGCCAGAGAGATCCAAAGAAGTCAAGCGAAAGACACATTTCTTTGGCTTACAAGGTTCCGCGCGAAGGATACGCGGCTTTCGTTCTCAGCAAACTCAAAGTTAAATTCCTCTGCTTCCTCTGCATCCTACAAGGAAGATCAAGGAAGGCAGGGGTGAGGCCATTTTAAGTGATTCAAGGCTAAACGGAGACAACGCCAGGAATGGTTCACGAAATGCGCCAAGGGTTCCCTAGTACAACTGTGATGGCCTGATGACAGAATCAAAATGAATCAAATGTCTCTGCGCTGATGATGGCTATAAAACGGAATGGTCCTCGTCCAGTGTAGGTACTAGAGCCTCAGAACAACTCAATCACCATGTAGCATTGACTTGAATTGGTTCAGTGCCTCCCAGAAGATTGGGCAGCTTCTGTATACTTAAAGCAAAAGTGGCATAGTTCCAATCTCTGTTCATTTCCAGTGTTCTCTACCAACCATGACAACTGTTCCGTTCGCATCAAGCAGCTGTGACCGTGTTTGTCGACTCGTCGCAATATATCAGCGACCGGTCTATCTGCTTCCAGTCAGATTCATCTTGCTGCGAACCAAACCTGGCCCAGAAAGCAAGAAAAAAAAAAGGGTCAGCACGTCTCTTGGCAAGCGTTCAATGATGGTTAGTGCTGAAAGCAGAATATGAAAGTAGAGTGGTGCATTTGCCCAGAGTCGTCTGAATAAACCAAAACAGAGAGTTGTTCAGAATTGGACACTGCACAACCAGTGTGCACCCTGAAGCACCGGCTGGGACTCGCACTGGGCTTCCAATTTATATTCCACTGATGGCAACCCCTCGTTCAATTCATGAATATCCGTCAGCGGCTTGGGAAAGCACACATGCATCAGAGCCTGAGTTGCCGTGAAGAATTAAAGAAAAATACATTTTGGCAAAAACAAATAGACAATGATATGACATGATATCATGTGGCAGAGGAAGAAGATTCTGAATGAAAGCGTGCAGAGCCAGCTGCCAGTACAGAGTGCTACCATTAGTTGGTTTCTACACTTTGCCGACGAAGACTTACATCAGAAGGTCTGCACGTGTCGTTTTGCACATTGAATTTGCCAACATTGGTTGTTGATGGTTGTTGATGGTTGTTGATGGTTGTTGATGGTTGTTGATGGTTGTTGAAGCTGTTGGGTGCTGGGGAAAACATGTGAAGGAATTTGAGTTCTGCATCGAAAAATCGATGCCGCTTGAATTCTACCAAGATTCAGATTGGAATAGCGAGTTGTTCTTCTCCTGCTTCATGGAGGCTACTGTACAAGTACAACACATGAGATCAACAAGAGAGCGCTCAAGACAAATCCACGACTAAATTAACATCATGATTCATGATCAAATCATACTAAATCCATCTAAATCCATGATCACCCTTAAGATGTCCACAGCTGTCCTCAAACAGGATGATTCCTTTGCCCAACAAATCTGGAGGTGGAGGAGGCTGCTGGACAGCAGGATTGGTAATCAGCAGTATCTCAGTCTCGGAGGGTTCGGAAGGTGCGCTGACTCCATTGGCGCTCATGGCCCTCACCCTGAAGCGCAGCTCCTGCAGCAACAAGCTGCTGGACTTGGGAATGAAAAAGGATGAAGGAAATGAAGGCAGAGATAGACTTTCCACGAAGTCCCACGAAGTCCCACGAAGTCCTCATAGCCAAAGCTCGCTTTTACAGCTTCAGAAGCTGCTCCACGTTCGACCAAAGCTTTGACGATGGTCACATTGTCGGACTTGTCGGAGACCTGGGGTGCCCATGGGCGGGCGGTGGGCGGCCGATGGGCGAGGGGAAAACAGAGCCCTTTGCCGGATCTACTCACAACGGTGTAACATCCGGCAAGATCATACCCCGCAGATCATTTTGCGGTGTGACATGTAGCATGAACAAACAACTTGTAGTCTCCATACGTCTCCGTGGTATGTTATATGCCATTCTGGCCGAGTCATAAGTGGGGTCAAATTCTTGCCACATCTCCTTTGTTGCATCTCTCACCTGGTCTGAGATCGTGTAGTAGGTCGTCAACGCAACCCAATCTGAGAATTTGCTGCTACCCCGGCGTTTCCTGGCTTGGACCTGCCAGCTATGCGCTATGCTATGCTTTTGGAGGTTTGGCCAGTCCTACGAGTACTACGAGTACGGATGTGTGTGTTGATGTGTGTTGTGTTGTACATGTGCGTCCTGTTTGGTCAAGGACCTGTGCATCTTGTCACGCTCTCACAACGTGTTTTGCAGGCCTGTACTTCATACTGCAAATTCTGGATGAGACTCCAGTGACCGCTGACTTCCCACTGAAGAGCAAATGTGAATAGATTGCTCCTGGAGACATAAATTCCATATGGCTGGACATCAAAGGTACTATTCGAATCTATTCGATTTGATTGAACTGCCTAATCTTCGTTCTCTCAAACGATGCTTGCAAGCATTGCTTCAAATGGGAAGAAACTTTTAAGCAATCGTCATAATCTTCTGTCTTCCAGTTGCGAAAGGGAAAACACGTGACCTGCTACCTCCACTGAGAACTGGAAGAAAGGAGTCTGTATCTGTTTGCTTGCAGACTGCACATGAGCATCACTGAACCATTTGATACAATTTGAACGCATTTCGCCATCTGCCAAGTTCTCTTTCCTGACAGTTGGCTGCCCTGGAAGTGGAAGTTCATAGTCCACCACGCCTGGCTCTTGCCAGGCTGTTGGTGTAGACCAGTCTCCCCCTGCCCAGTCACAGAAACGAAATGTCTCTGCTTAGAGAAATCGTACGCTCAAAACCCAACACACTGATGCTCCATGTTACAGCTTGTCTGTGCAGCATGCAACTCAAATAGTGCCTTGTATGCGTACACGGAGTCGCCAAGCTTTGTCATTGGGAAGGTCGTGAGGAAGTGCCACAGCTGCCTCAGGGACCAAGCTCCAATCAGCAGCAAGCCTTTCAAACGGCTCCTGACTATTTCTTGATATTTCTTGTATTCACAAACGATGTTTTCTCTCACAAAAACTGTATCTTCTGTAACTTGGGGTATTCGGATGTGGGGCTTTGGACCGTCCCCTCTTTCTTGCATTGCGTTGTGAATAGGTCTCACGCCTCTCATGTATACTTGAGAGGGGGAACACGAAAGGTAGGTAAGCAAGAAAGGAACCGAAGAAAAAATGAAGGGGAGAGGGCAGGGAAAAAAACATAAAGTGGAGTCTGGTAAAAGCGACGCGGCCATTTTCTTTCCAAAAATATGAAGGGGAGTCTGGTAAAAGCGACTGAAAGGCTTCGGCGATGTGGTTGGGGTTGGTGGCGGTTGTGGTGTTGGGTGGTGTTGGTGGTGCTGGTGGTGTTGGTGTTGTTGGTGTTGTTGGTATTGGTGTTGTTGGTGTTGTTGGTGGTGGTGGTGTTTCTGGTGTTGTTAGTGTTGTTTGTGTTGTTGGTGTGGTTGGGTTTGTTGGTGGTGTTGGTTGTTGGTCGTGTTGTTGGTGTTGGTATTGTTGTGTTCGTGTTGTTGTTGTTGTTGTTGCTGTTGTTGTTGTTGCTGCTGCTGATGGTGTTGTTGTTGTTGTTGTTGTTTGTTGTTTGTTGTTTGTTGTTTGTTGTGTGTTGTTGTGTGTTGTTGTGTGTTGTTGTGTGTTGTTGTGTGTTGTTGTGTGTTGTTGTGTGTTGTTGTGTGTTGTTGTGTGTTGTTGGGTGTTGTTGTGTGTTGTTGTGTGTTGTTGTGTTGTTGTTGTGTGTTGTTGTGTGTTGTTGTGTGTTGTTGTGTGTTGTTGTGTGTTGTTGTGTGTTGTGTGTGTGTTGTTGTGTGTTGTTGTGTGTTGTTGTGTGTTGTTGTGTGTTGTTGTGTGTTGTTGTGTGTTGTTGTGTGTTGTTGTGTTGTGTTGTTGTGTGTTGTTGTGTGTTGTTGTGTGTTGTTGTGTGTTGTTGTGTGTTGTTGTGTGTTGTTGTGTGTTGTTGTTGTTGTTGTTGTTGTGTGTTGTTGTGGTTGTTGTGTGTTGTTGTGTGTTGTTGTGTGTTGTTGTGTGTTGTTGTGTGTTGTTGTGTGTTGTTGTGTGTTGTTGAGTGTTGTTGTGTGTTGTTGTGTGTTGTGGTGTGTTGTGGTGTTGTTGTGTGTTCTTGTGTGTTCTTGTGTGTTCTTGTGTGTTCTTGTGTGTGTGTTGTGGTGTGTTGTGGTGTGTTGTTGTGTGTTGTTTGTGTTGTTGTGTGTGTTGTTGTGTGTGTTTTGTGTTGTTGTGTGTTGTTGTTGTGTTGTGTGTTGTTGTGTTGTTGTGTGTTGCGTGTGTTGTTGTGTCTTGTTGTGTGTGTGTGTGTTTTGTGTGTTTTGTGTGTTGTGTGATTGTGTGTTGTGCGTTGTGCGTTGTGCGTTGTGCGTTGTGCGTTGTGCGTTGTGCGTTGTGTGTTGGTGTTGTTGTTGTTGTTGTTGTTGTTGTTGTTGTTGTTGTTGTTGTTGTTGTTGTTGTTGTTGTTGTTGTTGTTGTTTTTGTTGTTGTTGTTGTTGTTGTTGTTGTTGTTGTTGTTGTTGTTGTTGTTGTTGTTGTTGTTGTTGTTGTTGTTGTTGTTGTTGTTGTTGTTGTTGTTGTTGTGTGTTGTTGTGTGCTGTTGTGTGTTGTTGTGTGTTGTTGTGTGTTGTTGTGTGTTGTTGTGTGTTGTTGTGTGTTGTGTGTGTTGTTGTTGTTGTTGTTGTTGTTGTTGTGTTGTTGTTGTTGTTGTGTGTTGTTGTTGTTGTTGTTGTTGTTGTTGTTGTTGTTGTTGTTGTTGTTGTTGTTGTTGTTGTTGTTGTTGTTGGTGTTGGTGTTGTTGTTGTTGTTGTCGTCGTTGTTGTTGTTGTTGCTGTTGCTGTTGTTGTTGTTGTCGTCGTCGTTGTTGTTGTTGTTGCTGTTGCTGTTGGTGTTGTTGTTGTTGGTGTTGGTGTTATCCCTGCAGCGTTTTTGCTCGGTTCCGTAGTGGCCGAAAATCGTCAAATCGGTGGTGTTTTCGCATGTTTTTGCAACTCTCGGAGCAAAAAACACCGTAAATACCAATGTTTTTGGCGGGTCGGAAGCCCAAAACCACGGTATTTACGATGTTTTTTGCCTCTGGTAGCAAAAAGCACGGTATTTACAGTGTTTTTTGGCCAGCACCTAGCAAAAACACTGGTATTTACGGAGGTTTCACCATGTAACAAAATGTGGTTTCTTGATCCGAAAAGAACAAAAATACTGTAAATTACAGTATTTTGAGTCTGCTCTTAGGGTGCGTGGGAGGTGTGGAGGGGGGGGGGAGGGGGGTACTAAAATAACTAGCAATCTCCTGAAGAATCAGGTAACGGGGCTGGCCGCCCTCCCCTTTACTTCGTAAAGTAAAACTCAAGGTAGCCCCTCTGGAGCTACCTTTCGTGATATGTTTATGTAATAGGCATAACGCATGTTCATACTGTAAATGATGCACATGTTCATGCTATATACTGTAATTATTAGGCATATTGCGCACGTACTAACAAAAATTATGTTGTAAATTATACGTATAATAATACACAATACAATCTATGTACTATATGTCTATATGTATAAACGCCTCCACGGACCGTGTCAGGGGTTGATGAACAGTACTTTCAATGCAGGGCAATAGCCTAAAAGCATTTGGGAGCACGATGGAAAAATCAACAACCAGTATCAACCAGTGTTTCTATTCACTTCTGGAATCCAAGGATATCCAAGGAGCTGTTACTGAACGTAGTCCACCATTCTCTCCTTCAGCCTCTTCCATCTGTTGCACGTATAAGCTGCGAACTGGCTGCCAATCCTGGCACAACTTCGTCAAGACCATTAAACATCCATGATGCTCAGAGATCTCAGAGATAGCGACTGGGATCTTGCGAAAATGCACAACAAAAGTCTCTCCTCGTCTGGAGCCTCCAAGCCAGCTTTGCCGAAGCAAACTTCTGCTTCATAGATTGGTACTTTGTCCGATTTTCCCTTCTGTTCCCAAGAAACCTGCAGAACTTGGTGACAGACAGTTGGAACATTTTGGAACATTGATTCATGAACCTTCCATATTGTAATACCTTCTACAGATTTCTACAGATCCAGAAGGTTCGAAAGTTTGAAACTGTCTGCATCTCAGAATAATCTCTCGCCTCCCAGAGGCTTTTGCTGCCACTTATGATTGTCAGCTGCTGCGGTCGACGCGGAGCCTTTGCTTTCTTAATGGTTGTTCGCCTGTCAGATCAAAGTTGTGCTTGATATGGAAAATCCGGTCGCGCTGCTTTCGCAATCTTTCGCACCTTACAATTTCTTGAGCTGCTTTTGCCGTTTGGATCGCATCATCCAGCTGCACAGCATCAGTCTGGCAGAAGAATCGTCCAGCTCTTTCAACTAAATGCCAATGACAAATCAGACCTATAAGACGTAAACCATCGTAAACGTTCGTAAACCTATTAAATCACACTAAATCTGTTAATGCGAGTATCTGAGTATCTGGGTGCGAACTCTGGTGACAGCCTCAGCAGATGCTTCCCCTTTCTGTCCATCGGGCCCTTCATACCGCATCCGCAGGGAACAACGAGTTCCTTGTCCTGCAGCGGTGCAACTGAAGCGATCCAACTTTTTCATTTTTTCAGGATGTCAATGTATGTCAACGGAACTCCTCCGTCGGCATTCGGCAGTTGAAGCTGAACAAAGCCTTGAAGTTCAATACTTGTTCCATTTTTACAAAATGCCGACGAAAATGACTACCAACCACTGGACATCATGACACCATCAAAGTGAACGAGGCACTAAGAAACCTATAGAATCTTACAGAAACCTCATTTGCTCTGCATAAACTGCAACTTCGAAGCCCAGAAAATGCTTCATGAAACGACTAAGAGCTGCACAAATGTTGAGAAGCCCCTCTTCTCCATCGTCCATTTGCATAGGCTGCGCCGTAGCAAGTTGACTCCACCCTGTCTTCAAGGAGTTTTCGAGTTCCCAAGAGGCCTCACAGGCAACAACTTTGACCTTGTGACAAGGCTTGACTGGGATCTGGCCTCGATCAATGTCTTCATCTCTTTCAGGGGCTCCTGGGCAAAACAAAAAGAGAGGAAAACTCTTCCGTAGAGATTCGAAAGGCTTGTTGTTCAAGCAAAGACTTCCGTCTCGCCGAGTCAGCAAGTAGAAACGAGACTGCTGGCATCACCATGCCTGCCATCTTCTACCATCCCTAGAGTGGCATCCCTGTCTTAAGAGTCTTAAGAGTCTTAAGATTGTGATTGTGCTGCTTCTATGCCGTCCTTCTCATGCCACATGAGCTCTGCCACTGGGAGCTCACCTTACTCAGGAGCAACGGTCTACAGAAAGGATCCGAAAGGAGTAGATAGTGTACCGCAGGGCACCTCTTCCTACCATGCTGCACAATGCTGCGCAACGCTCTGCCTAGCTGGGCTGTGCACTGCCGGGTGCAGTCAGCGTCCGAGCAAGTTGTAGAGACGGTGGAGCAGGTGGACCAGCAACTCCATGAAGTCGGACGGTGGCACAAACACCTCCCGCAGGTGCAACCACTCATCATGTTTGCATAGGTACTCCCTGCACATAGTCACTCCCCGGCCATGATCTTGGCAGATTGACAATCTCTAGATGTCCTTCGCTCAAAATGAGTGTCAAATCACCAAAAAAAACGCCGAAAGGGCGATGCCACGATGCCTCGCTTCCCACTGCCCTTGAGCATTCGCAGGATCAGCGGTTCCGCCACAGGAAAGCTCTCAAGACCTGCTGCAATGACAGAATCTTGGCTTCCCAGTGGAATTTTGAAACCACACAAGCTGCTCTTCAAATGACATGAAGACTCAAAGCAAGCGGCTGGAGCCAACAAAGATGTTAAGACTTCAGACTTCGGAGAGAACTATAGCGAAATAGAAGGAGAAGAGGAAGAGGAAGAAAAAGAAGAGGAACACATCTCCGAAGACATTCTGGCATGTGCGAAGCGCCTGAAACAAAGACCTCTCCAACCTGCAGCCAACGAATGTTCAAGTCGCTACCCCTTACAAGGTAACAGGAGAAGAATTTCATACGAATTGATCTCACCATAGTCTCACCTTGTCTTCCTTGCCTTGTCTTCGTTGTAGCGATAGTACGCTGGCAACGGAGTCCACGCCGCATAGAATGGCAACCGCTCCTCGCGAGCCTCAACCTGGTAGTGAATCTCTTCACCTGGATCAGGCCACGAACATTGCAGCTTCGACAACAACGATCTTAAAATCACTTATATATATATATACGTGATCACTTATATATAAGTGATGTTAAGTACACACTTAAGTATACTTATATAATTCAAGTGATCTCATTAAGTGCATGTTAAGTCCATGGTTGCTGTTTCTCAGCTGTAATCAAGCCTGCCCTTTGCCCCCATTCGTAGATGGAGTGAAAGATACATTCAATGATATGTGAGTGCGCGCATCCTTTCAATCCTGCTCACGTAAGGCCCGCCTTCTTCTAATTGCCATTGGATGCGACAATGCGTCCGAGGACATTTTGGGAAATTCGAATGAGCCAGTGATGGTTTGGGGCTCTCCAAGATTTGTGTCCGTCCGCGAGACAGAGTGGCTTTACCTGGCCAGCAGCGCTGTGGGGCCCGAACAAACATAGGAATTACATAGGAATGACATGGGCTCGAGAGTAACTGCGTAAGGATGTCAATGACACTGCAATTGGACACGGGAAAAGCAAGTGGTGTAAGGTGAAGGTGAAGCAGAACAAACAGAAAAACGAGAGAGACAATTCAATAGAGAGAGAGAGAGCGAGCGGGCAAGAGAGGGAGAGAGAGAGAGAGAGACGGAGGGAGACAGAGGGGGAGAGTGAGAGAGAAACAGACAGAAATGCTGACAATCTGAATGTTGCTGAGCAGTGAGAAGCCTGAAGCTGGTTGCAAAATATTGATGTTTGGAAGTTGCTGTTCTGAAGTGGAATTGTGAAAGAAACGACGCCAACAAAAGGCATAGACGTGCAGAAACTTGGGAAGTTTCCTGGCCTGTTTGAATTGGTGATGGTTCAGCCTGGTGCGGTGCAGCATTGTCTGATTCGAAGACGCAGCATTGTCTGATTCTGAGACGCTGAGACTCCACAAACCCAAAAAATGAAGTGGCTCAGTTCAAAAAGCCTAAAAGTCATTGAACTGACTATAAGTCTTGTGAAGCTCCCACGGTTCTCTGAGAAACCAACTGCAACATCTGCAAGCACCGCTGATGCTGCAGAAAACACATCTAATGCCTAAGCGGAACTCTGAAGTTCTTCATAATCTTAAATGCAAGAGATGTATCACACACGGGCATCTCATTGTCATTTGAATTTGCAGCTCAGACACTGTGAGTTGCAACTCGGTCTGCTCTGCATCACCACCACCCTTTGCAAGCTCTCAGGATTAACTGCAATTCCAGGCTGAAGATGGCTGAAGATGGCTGAAGTACCTTCACCATCCTTCACCATCCTTCACCATCCTTCAGCAGTCCACGTGCCTGGTCTTCCGCGCTTCCCAGATGGATGCTTGGAGACGGAGGGCTCCATCTTGAAGGCCCCGCATTGTTCACTGATCGTGCTCGAAACCTGAATCAACAACAAGCACTGCCAGTGCACCAGTTTCCGAGGTTGTTTTGTGTTTTTTAAGCTGATATGGACAGCTTGGAATTCTCCCTATTGCCATCAGGACTCTGTTAACCGTTCTTGCTTTGTGTTCCATGTAATGACTAGGCCAACAAGTACAGTATGCGACAAAGATCGACAAAGTGTTGGGAAGTGAAACATCCATCTGTTACCATCTGTTGACCTTTACAGTGAATGCGATCTTGTTTTACATAACAGGGTGCAGATGCCTAGGGTTCTGCACAACAATAATCTGGAGACCTGTATCCAGTTGCAATCAGAACTTGCTTAGCTTGAACTTTGAACCGCCTGGTTTCTGTCGTTTGCAGAAGTGTTTGTTGCCACATCATTTGCGTTCCTAGAGATTTGAGCCATTTCGCTCACAGTTCCCCGGGTGTTGGTGAATTAACAGGGTACAGAATTGCAGTGCTGTGGTGAACATTCCAAACATGAACGATCATTTCAACAACATAACGAAATCATCCCTGGGACGTTTGTCTGGCCATCTTGGCGCTCATCGTTTTTATCCACAGCCATGCATGCGATTTTCCACACATTCTTGTATTTTGTCAGCGACGCAAAATCAAACACGCAATCAAACAAACATGAATAGTCTCCATCTACTTCTACCGCAATCTGATCTTCTGAGTTGTAAGTTGTAAGTAAAAAAACGATTTAAGCCAGCAGCTCCAAAGCATCACGTTCTTCAATCACAGGCTTTGGGCCTCAAAGTACCAGCAAGTCGTAGCACTGAGACGCTCTGGGCTTGGCTTGGCAGCCAACATCAACAGAGCAACGGAGGATCTCAATTCTCTTATCCCTCTTTGGAAAACAAAACAAGAAGTAAATTTGGTCTTGTAAATCTTGGGAACAGGTAAGATATGGTAAGATCAAAAGATGTTTGAAGCTTCGTAGATGTTCTTGGCATATTTGGCATATATTTGTAGATTTTGTAGCATCTTCTACGCTACAATCCGCTACACATCGAACCACATGAAGCCATCGAAACTGCTTAGGCTCTCAGGACGAGAAGCCGATGAGCAAACATGAGAAGCAGTAGCTGTCCAAGGGCTCGTCCCACTTCGGATCATGGTTCATGTGCATTTGGCTGTCTGGAATCCTGGCTTCAAAGGCTGATCTGGCTCTCTAATCATGTCCAATCTGTCTAGAAGCAAGTGAGTCAATTTGTATCCATTTATATATATATATATCTACATCAATTTGTCAATGATAGGCAATCAATGTCTTCAAAGAAGCAACTGCTCGGCCTTGTCCATTCACTCTTGCCCTTTGGTCTGTATTCGATGTCGTAGCAAAAAAACCTGCAAAACAACTCCTCTTCATTCCCAAACAAGTGACGGGTGACGATTCAGCAACATTGGCATAGTATCACATATCACAAGTCTAATGCGAAGTCAAGTCAGCCTGTCCACGAGATCAGAATCTTGAACAGGCACAAGTATCTCTAAGACTTCCTTAGTCGGCAAAGAACATGATCAACACTGGGACGTGCGTGGAACTGGCAAATAGCTGAATTTCTCTGAATCCTCCGAATTCCGCTCTTCTGTCCATAGCCAGGACACAAGTTTGCCTGTCTGTTGCCAAGCTCGCACTTCAGGTGTGCCTGCCAAAGTCAAAGAAGCTCTGCTGAGTTGTCAAATCTGTCGGATCAGCTCGGATCTGTCCACCACAGACAGCAGGCAGTTTCCAAATTGCCAACTGCTTGGGAACCTTGCGGATCCTTGTGGGTGCCACTGTGCCACCTTTCGTTGATGCCTTTCATTGATGCCTACTAGAAGGCCTATAGTTCCATCTGTTCCATCGCGTTCCAAGAAAGATCAAAGCATAGGTCGTACCATGTCATCCCCACACGGCCTGGCTGTGGTGGCACCGGATAGATTGGCATCGTAATCGTCTCCGAGAAGTCGCTGACAGCTCCGAGGACTTCTTGTTCTTTCGATTCCACCTGCCGGGCCCCAAGCCCCGGTCCAGACCTGTGGGCCTGTGGGATTCTGCAGTACATGAAAAGAGGCAAGCCTTGCATTATGTTGCATTGCGTGGTTTCTTACCAGGTCAGGTAAACACAAAGAAATAAAGAGATACGGAGATACGAACATAATATGCAGCAATGTTTGCCCACATGTCAATGCATCACTTGCCTGGTGCACACACTGCACTGCAAAGCGATATGGCACACCACCTCATGGCAAGTTGATCTTGGAGAAAATGATGCAACTTGCGCTGCAATTTATTGCGAATGAATCTTGACTAGACATTAAGATACTGTGTCTGATCTTGCGCTCAAATGAGCAATAATGATTCACTGAAAAAACAAAACAAGTGTCGAATCTCATTCACGGGCCATCCCTTGCAGTACCACTGCTCTCCCAGACACGTTGAAGGTCGTTGACTTTGATGCTCTTGCGCTTCTCCAAGTCCCTCAAATCCTGATTCCACACCTCCAAATCCTTGGCATCTCAAACCCAAAGCATAGGAATGGAGGAAGACTCAAAATACCCAAAGGAAACTCCAAATGTCCACGCATCCAATGTGCATCCAATGTGCATCCTACAGGGCATCCATGCAGGGCACCAAATGACTAGAGTTCTGCATAGTTCTGCCCTGCCTTGATGGCCTGGTCTCCACTGCTCACCACCTGCTGAGTGGGTGGAAGCATAGGCTCCTTGCCCGCGGCGAGATTACAACTTGACATCTGCCGTCTGCCACAAAGATCAACATGGATCAACATGGATCAACATGGATTAACGGATTAACGGAAATCAATGGATTTCACGGATTTGACGGGCTGACAATGCTGACCAATCTGCTGTCATCTCTTAGTGCTGCAGAGAAGCAACATGCAAAATGTGCTTGACAATCGGGGGACAGTACTTCTCTTCCACTGGAGCTACCCAATGGAGGAGAGCAGAGCAGCTATTCGCTCGGGGCTCTAGGCCAAATTGTTCCTCCAGCTTTGGCCAAGGTGCCAAGAACATTTTTTTCCAAGAACTGCTTTCATAGCAAAAAAACACGGCCATTGCCCCGGCGAACAAATCGTCCATGCTGGGCTTTCTGAAGCTCCAGCAAGATCAACATCACAGCTGCTTAAATAGAACCCCTACAGAGCTTTCGTATCCGAAGAATTGTGGCCCTCTGAACGCACAAACTCATCTGTTGTCAATGATGCTTGGAAATCTGGAAGCACTCAAGGCTCTATGCCGGAATCCAATCAAGCAAAGCTCAATAAGAATCCGTCATCTTCGAAATCCAAAGGGCTCAAAGACAAAGAAATGGTTGGTTCTTCAGTATTTCATCTTGCTCAAAAAGTCAAGACTAGATTCATTCCACCCAGTGCACGGGGTTGATAAGTATTTGAGTCTTTTGAAAGCCAAGCATCCAACTTTGGCGCTGCCGGGGATGGCATATGGACAGAGAAGCTAACTTGGCCACCTACCTCAGCATAAGCGAAAGATCTCAGCCTTTCTCATTGTGTGCTTCTTCGGAACACATCTACAGTTGCCATACGCTCAGGTTATCTCAGATTAGATTGACAACCAATGGACCTAGTCATGTGCGAGGTGGCTCACTACGTTTATCTGCAGCTTTGCCACCTGTCTCAGCGGAACTCGTCCAGCGTCAGAGGCAAAGACTCTCACGTCGAAAGCCTCTAATGATCAGAAGCTACAAGAAGCAAAAGACATGGACAACAACAAGAAATATGTGTATGTGTATATATATATATGTGTATATATATATACATGTGTATATATAATATGTCTATGTGTGTGTGTTTAGTTTCAATTACATTAGTATATCTAAATATATACTTTCATATTTATAGTCTATAGTATCTATATGTATCTATAGTTTAGTAATATTGTTATAGTACAGAGATTTACATCATATGATTATAGATTACTATAATGTAATTAGTGACTTAGTGAAAAATCGGCGGGTCTGAGGTCCTATCTCAGGATCATCCCTCCAGGTGGCCCCACAGACGAAAACTCCGAGACCAAGCCACTCGATGCTCCGTCGGCCATGGTGCAGTGAGCCATACAGTGCATTCCCTTACACCAGCGCTGCCTGAGAACAAGAATGCTGGGTGAAAACAAAAAAACAGACAACATACAACAATCATTGCCACATTATCACATTATAAATAAGTTATAACATATGATCACATTGTGATCACATTGTCACTATCATTGCGATCACCAGTTCTCGCCTGGTGGGAGGAAATGTGGCAAACCTCAGTGTCTGGAGATTTCACCACGGAGCAATGTCTCCAATGTCTCTGTGCATCCGAGTTGCTTCCAATTTGGGCAAAGCTCTTTATCTTTTGACCGTCTATCAGCCAGTGGCCCTTGCCTTCCTGGAAGGAACTCAAAAGAGCCAAACTGTGTATTGTGGCAAGGAGTGAAGCAAAACTGACGCAGGCTGATGCCAATTTAGATATAATTATACGTGTGTATTTATATTTATATATATATATTGTATATATATATATATTTATATATTGTATATATATATGTATATATATATAATATTATATCCGCCGACCCCTGCCGTCAGCAGGGGGAGCGCGTCAGAGGAGGCCTTACTAGCAACAAGATGCCAGAAGGGGCGAAGAGTTTGTGCAGAACGAAAGCCGGCTCCAGAAGGACACGAGCAGGGTGGCAGTTGGCAATGTAGAAACGCGGGAAAAGTCAAGGTTTGGAGCTAGTTTCTAGTCGGTTCAGAAAGTGACGTTTGGCAGTCTGGGATACGGGCCGCGGGCCCAATCCGTCCTTCACTGCCATGGTGTTTTAGCCCTGCGACACGGTCCTTGGACTCCAGCTTGGACCGAAGCGGTGCAGAACGAAAGCCGGCTCCAGGAGGACACGAGCAGGGTGGCAGTTGGCAGTGCAGAAACGCAGGAAAAGTCAAGGTTTGGAGCTAGTTTCTAGTCGGTTCAGAAAGTGACGTTTGGCAGTCTGGGATACGGGCCGCGGGCCCAATCCGTCCTTCACTGCCATGGTGTTTTAGCCCTGCGACACGGTCCTTGGACTCCAGCTTGGACCGAAGCGGTGCAGAACGAAGGCCGGCTCCAGGAGGACACGAGCAGGGTGGCAGTTGGCAGTGCAGAAACGCAGGAAAAGTCAAGGTTTGGAGCTAGTTTCTAGTCGGTTCAGAAAGTGACGTTTGGCAGTCTGGGATACGGGCCGCGGGCCCAATCCGTCCTTCACTGCCATGGTGTTTTAGCCCTGCGACACGGTCCTTGGACTCCAGCTTGGACCGAAGCGGTGCAGAACGAAAGCCGGCTCCAGGAGGACACGAGCAGGGTGGCAGTTGGCAGTGCAGAAACGCAGGAAAGTCAAGGTTTGGAGCTAGTTTCTAGTCGGTTCAGAAAGTGACGTTTGGCAGTCTGGGATACGGGCCGCGGGCCCAATCCGTCCTTCACTGCCATGGTGTTTTAGCCCTGCGACACGGTCCTTGGACTCCAGCTTGGACCGAAGCGGTGCAGAACGAAAGCCGGCTCCAGGAGGACACGAGCAGGGTGGCAGTTGGCAGTGCAGAAACGCAGGAAAAGTCAAGGTTTGGAGCTAGTTTCTAGTCGGTTCAGAAAGTGACGTTTGGCAGTCTGGGATACGGGCCGCAGGCCCAATCCGTCCTTCACTGCCATGGTGTTTTAGCCCTGCGACACGTCCTTGGACTCCAGCTTGGACCGAAGCGGGGCAGAACGAAAGCCGGCTCCAGGAGGACACGAGCAGGGTGGCAGTTGGCAGTGCAGAAACGCAGGAAAAGTCAAGGTTTGGAGCTAGTTTCTAGTCGGTTCAGAAAGTGACGTTTGGCAGTCTGGGATACGGGCCGCGGGCCCAATCCGTCCTTCACTGCCATGCGCCCTGCGACACTGTCCTTGGACTCCAGCTTGGACCGAAGCGGTGCAGAACGAAAGCCGGCGCCAGGAGGACACGAGCAGGGTGGCAGTTGGCAGTGCAGAAACGCAGGCAAAGTCAAGGTTTGGAGCTAGTTTCTAGTCGGTTCGGAAAGTGACGTTTGGCAGTCTAGGATACGGGCCGCGGGCCCAATCCGTCCTTCACTGCCATGGTGTTTTAGCCCTGCGACACGGTCCTTGGACTCCAGCTTGGACCGAAGCGGTGCAAAACGAAAGCCGGCTCCAGGAGGACACGAGCAGGGTGGCAGTTGGCAGTGCAGAAACGCAGGAAAAGTCAAGGTTTGGAGCTAGTTTCTAGTCGGTTCAGAAAGTGACGTTTGGCAGTCTGGGATACGGGCCGGGCCCAATCCGTCCTTCACTGCCATGGTGTTTTAGCCCTGCGACACGGTCCTTGGACTCCAGCTTGGACCGAAGCGGTGCAGAACGAAGGCCGGCTCCAGGAGGACACGAGCAGGGTGGCAGTTGGCAGTCCAGAAACGCAGGAAAAGTCAAGGTTTGGAGCTAGTTTCTAGTCGGTTCAGAAAGTGACGTTTGGCAGTCTGGGATACGGGCCGCGGGCCCAATCCGTCCTTCACTGCCATGGTGTTTTAGCCCTGCGACACGGTCCTTGGACTCCAGCTTGCACCGAAGCGGTGCAGAACGAAAGCCGGCGCCAGGAGGACACGAGCAGGGTGGCAGTTGGCAGTGCAGAAACGCAGGAAAAGTCAAGGTTTGGAGCTAGTTCCTAGTCGGTTCAGAAAGTGACGTTTGGCAGTCTGGGATACGGGCCGCGGGCCCAATCCGTCCTTCACTGCCATGGTGTTTTAGCCCTGCGACACGGTCCTTGGACTCCAGCTTGCACCGAAGCGGTGCAGAACGAAAGCCGCCGGCTCCAGGAGGACAGGAGCAGGGTGGCAGTTGGCAGTGCAGAAACGCAGGAAAAGTCAAGGTTTGGAGCTAGTTCCTAGTCGGTTCAGAAAGTGACGTTTGGCAGTCTGGGATACGGGCCGCGGGCCTAATCCGTCCTTCACTGCCATGGTGTTTTAGCCCTGCGACACGGTCCTTGGACTCCAGCTTAGACCGAAGCGGTGCAGAACGAAAGCCGGCGCCAGGAGGACACGAGCAGGGTGGCAGTTGGCAGTGCAGAAACGCAGGTAAAGTCAAGGTTTGGAGCCGCAGAACGAAAGCCGGCTCCAGGAGGACACGAGCAGCGTGGCAGTTGGCAGTGCAGAAACGCAGGAAAAGTCAAGGTTTGGAGCTAGTTTCTAGTCGGTTCAGAAAGTGACGTTTGGCAGTCTGGGATACGGGCCGCGGGCCCAATCCGTCCTTCACTGCCATGGTGTTTTAGCCCTGCGACACGGTCCTTGGACTCCAGCTTGGACCGAACCGGTGCAGAACGAAAGCCGGCTCCAGGAGGACACGAGCAGGGTGGCAGTTGGCAGTGCAGAAACGCAGGAAAAGTCAAGGTTTGGAGCTAGTTTCTAGTCGGTTCAGAAAGTGACGTTTGGCAGTCTGGGATACGGGCCGCGGGGCCAATCCGTCCTTCACTGCCATGGTGTTTTAGCCCTGCGACACGGTCCTTGGACTCCAGCTTGGACCGAAGCGGTGCAGAACGAAAGCCGGCTCCAGGAGGACACGAGCAGGGTGGCAGTTGGCAATGCAGAAATGCAGGAAAAGTCAAGGTTTGGAGCTAGTTTCTAGTCGGTTCAGAAAGTGACGTTTGGCAGTCTGGGATACGGGCGGCGGGCCCAACCCGTCCGTCACTGCCATTGTGTTTTAGCCCTGCGACACGGTCCTTGGACTCCAGCTTGGACCGAAGCGGTGCAGAACGAAGGCCGGCTCCAGGAGGACACGAGCAGGGTGGCAGTTGGCAGTGCCGAAACGCAGGAAAAGTCAAGGTTTGGAGCTAGTTTCTAGTCGGTTCAGAAAGTGACGTTTGGCAGTCTGGGATACGGGCCGCGGGCCCAATCCGTCCTTCACTGCCATGCGCCCTGCGACACGGTCCTTGGACTCCAGCTTGGACCGAAGCGGTGCAGAACGAAAGCCGGCGCCAGGAGGACACGAGCAGGGTGGCAGTTGGCAGTGTAGAAACGCAGGCAAAGTCAAGGTTTGGAGCTAGTTTCTAATCGGTTCAGAAAGTAACGTTTGGCACTCTGGGCTACGGGCCGCAGAACGAAAGCCGGCTCCAGGAGGACACGAGCAGGGTGGCAGTTGGCAATGCAGAAACGCAGGAAAAGTCAAGGTTTGGAGCTAGTTTCTAGTCGGTTCAGAAAGTGACGTTTGGCAGTCTGGGATACGGGCCGCGGGCCAAATCCGTCCTTCACTGCCATGGTGTTTTAGCCCTGCGACACGGTCCTTGGACTCCAGCTTGGAGCGAAGCGGTGCAGAACGAAAGCCGGCTCCAGGAGGACACGAGCAGGGTGGCAGTTGGCAGTGCAGAAACGCAGGAAAAGTCAAGGTTTGGAGCTAGTTTCTAGTCGGTTCAGAAAGTGACGTTTGGCAGTCTGGGGTCCTTCACTGCCATGGTGTTTTTAGCCCTGCGACACGGTCCTTGGACTCCAGCTTGGACCGAAGCGGTGCAGAACGAAAGCCGGCTCCAGGAGGACACGAGCAGGGTGGCAGTTGGCAGTGCAGAAACGCAGGAAAAGTCAAGGTTTGGAGCTAGTTTCTAGTCGGTTCAGAAAGTTACGTTTGGCAGTCTGGGATACGGGCCGCGGGCCCAATCCGTCCTTCACTGCCATGGTGTTTTAGCCCTGCGACACGGTCCTTGGACTCCAGCTTGGACCGAAGCGGGGCAGAACGAAAGCCGGCTCCAGGAGGACACGAGCAGGGAGGCAGTTGGCAGTGCAGAAACGCAGGAAAAGTCAAGGTTTGGAGCTAGTTTCTAGTCGGTTCAGAAAGTGACGTTTGCTCCAGGAGGACACGAGCAGGGTGGCCGTTGGCAGTGCAGAAACGCAGGAAAAGTCAAGGTTTGGAGCTAGTTTCTAGTCGGTTCAGAAAGTGACGTTTGGCAGTCTGGGATACGGGCCGCGGGCCTAATCCGTCCTTCACTGCCATGGTGTTTTAGCCCTGCGACACGGTCCTTGGACTCCAGCTTGGACCGAAGCGGTGCAGAACGAAAGCCGGCTCAAGGAGGACACGAGCAGGGTGGCAGTTGGCAGTGCAGAAACGCAGGAAAAGTCAAGGTTTGGAGCTAGTTTCTAGTCGGTTCAGAAAGTGACGTTTGGCAGTCTGGGATACAGGCCACGGGCCCAATCCGTCCTTCACTGCCATGGTGTTTTAGCCCTGCGACACGGTCCTTGGACTCCAGCTTGGACCGAAGCGGTGCAAAACGAAAGCCGGCTCCAGGAGGACACGAGCAGGGTGGCAGTTGGCAGTGCAGAAACGCAGGAAAAGTCAAGGTTTGGAGCTAGTTTCTAGTCGGTTCAGAAAGTGACGGCAGTCTGGGATACGGGCCGTGGGCCCAATCCATCCTTCACTGCCGTGGTGTTTTAGCCATGCGACACGGTCCTTGGACTCCAGCTTGGACCGAAGCGGTGCAGAACGAAAGCCGCCTCCAGGAGGACACGACAGGGTGGCAGTTGGCAGTGCAGAAACGCAGGAAAAGTCAAGGTTTGGAGCTAGTTTCTAGTCGGTTCAGAAAGTGACGTTTGGCAGTCTGGGATATGGGCCGCGGGCCCAATCCGTCCTTCACTGCCATGGTGTTTTAGCCCTGCGACACGTCCTTGGACTCCAGCTTGGACCGAAGCGGTGCAGAACGAAAGCCGGCTCCAGGAGGACACGAGCAGGGTGGCAGTTGGCAGTGCAGAAACGTAGGAAAAGTCAAGGTTTGGAGCTAGTTTCTAGTCGGTTCAGAAAGTGACGTTTGGCAGTCTAGGATACGGGCCGCGGGCTCAATCCGTCCTTCACTGCCATAGTGTTTTAGCCCTGCGACACGGTCCTTGGATTCCAGCTTGGACCGAAGCGGTGCAGAACGAAAGCCGGCTCCAGGAGGACACGAGCAGGGTGGCAGTTGGCAATGCAGTGTCGTCTCGGGTCTCTTTAGGATGCCATTTCAAGTTTCATACTGCGGTTACGAACGGGGGCTTCGGGTATGGGTCTTAAGTGCTAGAGCAACCCTTTAGGTCCCCAAGACACCTGGCCAATGACGAAAGCTCCTATTTCTTGAGCCATGAAAAAGTGTCAGAGCACATAGTTGTGCGTGTCATCCTGCAGGGGTCCATGCTGCTTGCATGTGCACAGTGCCAAACGCACATACAAATGGTTTGTTTAGGTCAGTTTCTGGTTTCTTTAGGGTTCATTTCATGCTTACGACACAGAGGCAGGCATGACCCTCCAGTGTCCAGGGGTCGGCGGCAGAGGGCGTAGCCCTTTAATAATTATTATGATGATGCAAGTTTCCTGTAATTTTCTGTGCTGCATTGATTTGATGCATGACTTGGCGGTCCTCAGTCCATATCATACGAGATGGCACGACAGCAACCACTGGATGCTTTCCGCAAAGAGGGTTCATGTCCGCTCCGAGTCGAACCTTGGTTGACATGTCAAAGAACTGGGAAAAGTATTGAAAAGAATTGCACAGAAATTGCCATAGACAACATATGTCTCATATTACATTCAAAGACATTCAAAGACAACGATTGAGTCGACTATTGAGAAGCAAACGTCTCAGAATTGCCATTGTTGACAAATTGTTCACAAATGTTCACAATCGAGCGAGCTGCGCGGCACATAATGCGGTCACCACCATTGTATCTTTTTTGGTCAACGGCCATAATGTCTGAGATGTTTGTGAAAGAGATCAGCAAAGCATTCACCTTGGCTGGCAGGTGATTTCTAGTATGTTTGCTTCGCTGCACATAGTGAGCGTTCCTCAAGGTCTTCTTCTTGACACTTCTTGGGCCCAATTTTGTCAAATTCCAGCAAATGTTTGGATAGACTGATAGACCGATGATCTTCTAAGCAAAAGCCTCAAAAGCTCGAGAACTGGAAAAACATGGAAAAGCTGCAAAGTGACGGTAACGTTGCCATGCACTCGCTCCTGGGCAGGTTCAGGTCAATGAACTGACCACAGTTTGGTCATCCATGCAGGGCAATGCAAGAGCATTTAGAGTCAGCTTTTCCAGTTGAACAGCCAAGCATCAAGGGCATCGTACGCCACACGTAGTTGGTCAGCAGATGATCTTACCAGAAACAATCCAGAGTCCAATGACCATAGAGGCCTGGCATCAGGGACACAATTCGAATGGCAGCCGGCAGTCCATTTGTTTATGTCCACAAAGGCTGAACGGAAAGATAAAGATTGCAAATTGCATGATGAAGCGGCTTTGAAGTACTCACTGACTTCACGCCTCAGAAGCAAACAGCACATCTGAAGCTGAAGAACTCAACGAAGAGATGAAAGTGATTTCTAGAGCAAAACGATGCACAGCTGTGGAGCGATGCAGAGCAATTCAAATGGGTGCAGCATGGTGCAGCACAAACACGCACAAAAGTACAAATTCGTGAAAATCACTCCTTATCCTTATCCGTTGGACTTCTCCATGGGTCTCAGTCTCTGGTCCAAGCGGCTTGCCCCTTTCGACTCGGAGGGCTTGGCAGGTTTAGGTTTTGCAGACTTGCCATCTTTGGAAAGGAAGGGTTCACTGTCGTGATCAGACGCACGAAAAACGTATCTCCGGAAGTCCTTTCAAATTTGGCAAATCAGCGAAGCTTGCAAAACCTTTCACCAGCGCACTTGGTGCACTGGATATGGTCGAATCAGCAGAAGCACACTCTCTAGTCCTCGAAGGACAAAGCTTTGAACCGGTCGCCCTTCTGCCTTGAGTTTGGATTTTTCCAGTAGATCGAGGGATGAAGCATGATAAAGTTGCCTTTATTTTCATTGTTTATTAAGACTTATCTCAATCATCTCAATCTGTTGCACTGACAGAAGATTACAGAAAATGTAATTGTTTAATACTCAACAGCAGACGTGATGTCCCCCGACCATGTTGCCGCTGCACACAAGTCCAAGGAGCACAGCCGAGACTAGTTTTTCGAGGTCTTTGTCCAGTGGTTTGCTAAGGAAAACACTGATAGCCTGGGGCGTGCGATGCAGCGTGCCCACTCCCACGTGCCCCGAGCTGTTGGGAAGTAGACCCTTGTGACTGAGATGAAGACAAGTTCTTCTAAGGTGTAGTCTGTACCTTGCATCAAAGAAAGCAACGGACAAAATAATTCTAAGGCCTACTCTCTGCACGTGCCGTCTGAGTCGAGAATTCGGGTGATTTCCTGTTGTTTTCATGAGCGACTCTTTGAACAGCAAGGGTTGAAGTGGTTCAATTCTTGGCTGAAATTCACCACGCATATCATCTAAACAATTCTACATGCTCTACATGTATACTGTACCTATAAATGAGTCGTCAATATTTATAAATTATATGGTATAAATTTGTATAATGGATGGAAATGGTATACTTGGCACGGCCTTGCTACCAGTAGTACCGCACAAGGCGGTGGCGGAAGTTTCAAAAATATTCAAAAATAGGAAACCTATAGGAGAGATTGGTTGTTGTGAATCACGGATGGCACAGCGAAGCCACTGATGGACCGAAAGGTGGTTGAGGTCTCTTCTCTTTCTCTCTCTTTCTGTCTCTTTCTCTGACCATCTACCTACCTACCCACCTATCTATCTATGCATCCATCTCTCTCTCTCTCTCTCTCTGTCGTGGTAATTAGTGTAGTGTAGTGTAGTGTAGTGTAGTGTAGTGTAGTGTAGTGTAGTCTAGCGTAGTGTAGTGGAGTGGAGTGGAGTGTAGTGTAGTCTTATATAGTTGTAGTTGTAGTTAGTGTGACGTAGTGTAATGTAGTGTAGTGTAGTGTAATGTCATTAGCGTAGTGTAATGTAATGTCATTAGTGTAGTGTAATGCAATGTAGTGTAGTTGCAATGTAGTGTAGTTGCAGTTGCAGTTGTAGGTGTGGTGCGGTGTGATTCAGTGTAGTGTAGTGTAGTGTAGTGTAGTGTATAGTGTAGTGTAATTAGTGTAGTGTAATTAGTGTAGTGTAATTAGTGTAGTGTAATTAGTGTAGTGTAATTAGTGTAGTGTAATTAGTGTAGTGTAATTAGTGTAGTGTAATTAGTGTAGTGTAGTGTAGTGTAGCGTAGTGTAAATGTAGTATTGTTGTAGTTGCAGTTGTAGTTGCAGTTGTAGTTGCAGTTGTAGTTGTAGGTGTAGCGCAGTGTTATTCAGCGTAGTGTAGTGGAGTGTAGTGTAGCGCAGTGTAGTGTAATTAGTGTAGTGTAGCGTAGTGTAAATGTAGTATTGTTGCTGTTGCAGTTGTAGTTGTAGTTAGTGTAGTGTAGCGTAGTGGAATGTAGTGTAGTGTACTGTAATGTAGTGTAGTGTAATTGAGTGTAGTGTAGTGGAGTGTAATGGAATGTAGTGTAGTGTGGTGTAATGTAGTGCAGTGTAGTTGTAGTGTAGTATAGTTGTAGTGTAGCGTAGTGGAGTGTAGTGTAGTGCAATGGAGTGTAGTGTAGTGGAATGTAGTGTAGTGTAGTGTAATGTAGTGTAGTGGAGTGTAGTGGAGTGTAATGTATTGTAATGTAGTGTAGTGGAATGTAGTGTAGTGTAGTGTAGTGCAGTGTAGCAAAGTACAGTGTAGTGTAGTGTAGTGTAGTGTAATTGAGAGTAATTGGATGTAATTGAATGTAGTGTAGTGGAGTGTAGTGGAGTGGAGTGTAGTGAAGGTGTAGTTGTAGTTGTAGTGTAGTGTATTGGAGTGTAGTGTGGTGTAGTGGTGGTTGTCGTTGAAAATGCTACAAAACCCTCACGTTTTGCTCACTTTTGACAATATCCACAATCCCTTGCACCTGCCACGGAACGACATCTCAACGTCCAAAAGTGGTCCGAACCCCTGGTGCTTTTAACATTTTGACTTCGAAATGTGCTTCGCGGCACAACGGCATGCACTTTTTCGACATCTCAGCTTCCAAAAGTGGTCCGAGCATGGTGTGCTTTGTACATTTTGACTTGGAAATGTGCTTCGCGCCACAACGGCATGCACTTTTTCGACATCTCAACTTCCAAAAGTGGTCCGACAATGGTGTGCTTTGTACATTTTGACTTCGAAATGTGCTTCGCGCCACAACGGCGTGCAATTTTTCATCTCTCATCTGGCCAGCTGGCTCCGCACCCGCCGCTTTAGCGAGCCTACTTTTCGACCCTCCGGAGCCTCAAATCATTGGAAAAACACAGTGTTTCGCGACTTTCCTACCTTTTCGCATCTGCATCTTCTTTCTTCTGACTCTTTCTCTTCTACTCTGCTCTCTTCTAATCTTTTCTCTTCTCTCTGCCTCTGCCATACTCTGCTTTTCATCTGTCCATATTGTCGGAAACTTGACTTCTAAACTTCCTTCGATCAACACAGCAGTTTTTTGATTTTAGATAACTTTAGTTGCTTGAGTTGTTATTGTTTTTATGTTTGTTTTTGCTTTTGTCCTGCCCATTGTTGTTGTCTGTGTCTTTCGTCGCCGTCGCTATCACCGCTGCCTTCACCTTGATCATCCTGCTTTTAGTTGTGGTTTTGGTGTTCTTCGTCTGTCCTTTTTCCTCTTTTTCCTCCTCCTCCTCCGCCTCCTCCCGTTTCCTTCTTGCTGTTCTGGCTGTTTTGGCTGTTCTTGGTGCTTTGGCCGTTCTGGCTGTGGTTGTCCTCATCGGCGTCGTCATAGTCATAGTCAGGGTCTCTGGTTGGAGGTGGGTGGGAATTGGTGATGTTGATGATGGATTAAGCTGGATGATGGTGGCTGATGCTGGGTGTCAGTGGATGATGCTGGGTGATGGTGGTATGGGGTCAAATGGCTTGTGGTGGGTGGCGATGTGGTGGTCTGCACGGCCGTGACGGTACAGTTGGAGGTTCAGAGCAGTGCCGCCAGTCGGACTCCCAGTGGTCTGGCCTTGACTATGTTGCTCTTGATCTTCATGTGTCTTTCATTCTTGTTGGTTGTATTATAGTCCTTCTTGCTGATGTTTGGGTGTATAGATCTCAATTCTTGTGCTCTTCACTTCTGGTTGTTTATTCAAAGTTTGGTCGCAGGCTGCATGCTTGTTTGTTGCTGTTCTTTGCAAGGCTTCAACAGTTCTGCAAGTCGAGCCACCATCTTTGGGCAACTTCACCTTCCTCTTTCCAGCAGATTCCTTCAACAAAGCAGTTGCGAGCTGAATCTTCAGGCCAAAGAACACCGTCTGTGCGCCTGGATCTCAATTGCATTCAAGAAGTTGCAGATTTCAACCGTTGGAAGCTCCAGCAGCTCTGAAATCTTTTCTGCCTCCAGAGCGGCATACTATGTCTTCTTATGTCGGTTTGTCATGTAGTGGAATTCAATCCATTGAATACCACGAATTGGAGAAAATCATCTGCGATGACCCTCGCTGTCACACATCTGCCTGCACGCGTCCCGCAGCTCCTGTTGCGACCTCAACTTCACTGTCCGAATCGTCAGCAGACCTGGACAAGCTGTAGCCATCTAAGAGCAGTCCTAACTACCTTTGGTCGGTTCACAAAACCGGGTTGTACCATGCAATGAACTTCCTGTACAGTATTATGCACCATCCAATATCAGCCATTTTCCTTCGCCCATGGCCAAACCTCTTCACTTCGTTCATGAGCCCGTGCAAAGAGCCATGAGCAAGCCTCAAGTAGCCACTCAAGTAGCCAAAAAGTCCACTCTTGTGATGCACAGCAGTGTGTGGTGGTGCGCTCCTGGGGCTTTATCTGTGCGCACAAGTGGAGGCAGAAACAAACCGATTGTGCAACACAAAACGGCTCACAAACCAAGTCACAAAATTCGCCGTCGCACACAACTGCTTGGGAGTGCGGGCGCAACCTATTGGCTTTTGGTGCGGGAAAAGGCAGGTAACGTCTCTTTTCGTGTTCCTGGCCTGTGTTAGAAAAAGAGGATGGTATGGATGTCATTGGATGTCCTTTGACAGCAAGACCACTTGCTACGCCTCAAATCGTTCTGCCAGTGCCATCCCTCGGCCTCAGCAAAAGCCTGCTTGACTTCGGTAACGGAGAGTGCCCCAGAACAATTGATGTCCAGACCTGGCGCAGATCTGCATCAATCAGGCAGCGGACCCGGAGGACCTACTGGCCGCCGGCCTTTGAAGAAGCGGAGAAACTTCTTCTCCAGTTCCTCAGATCCGAGCATGGCCAAAATCCAAAAAGATTCGAATTGAAGCATGTTTTTCAAATCGCTCTTCGAATTTCGACATGTGCGGTACATTGCGGTGCAAGCTTCAGCACTCACTCGAATTTGCTTTCCGGCAATTTCGGCCACCTCCCCAATGCTGCATCCGGTGGGAATGGCACTTGTGGCACTTGAGGCACTTGCAGTCCAAAAGATTTTAACAATTCTTCTACAATGTTGTTCTACAATTGTTCTACAATGTTCTACATCTAAAGCTTTGTTTCTTTCTTCATTGGCTGATCGAGCCTTGCCTCATCTTCAGCGAAGCTTTGCAGAGCCAAGCGCTGTCTGAATCTCCTAAACATCATGTTTTGGAAGCCGTGGTTCAGGAAGCATTTTCTGTCACCACTTGTATCATTCTTCAAGAGTTTTGCTCTGCAAATCTATGTATCATGTCTTCACAAGCCAAGGATCTCATCAAACTGCCGCAACCAGGCACCCAATTGCAGAAACCTTTGGGGAGATTGTGTCATGAATCCATTTGACTGCAGTCTACTTGTACTATCTTGTACTCATGTTTCTCAACGTATCAGACACGTGTTTGATCTGTCTGATTATGTCTGGGAAAATATGCACCCAAGGGCATAAGTGGCATCAGTGGTGTATTGCCGGCATGCTCATGGGCTTAAAGTCTCAAAGGTCTCGAAAGGTCTCGAAATATTCCTTTAACCTTTTCTGGAACATTCGTTGACCGCACCTACCTGGATCCCCGGTTTTGGAAGGCACAATAATTGCATACGGTACTCAAAATGCTACTAAACTTGTGGCAATAAATTAGTTTCAAGCATGGCGGCTGTGTTTGGGGCATGTCAAATTCGGTGCAAACATTTTTGGGCAACTGCTTTTGCGGCACTTTACTCGGAATGTGTTTAATTGAGGGAGTCTTGATGGAGGTGGAAGTATCATGAAGTATCCATTGAACACATCTTGAGGTCCTTCGTGCAGCCACCTGGAAGCAGTCAAGGGATCTGAAGGAGGACGACTTGGAGTCTGGAAATGGTACGAGATGAGTCTCTCAAATCGCGTTTGATTGCTTTTTGCAAGATAAAAGTCAGCGGCAAGAGGCTGTTGCTCATTGAGCTCCGTGGAAGACGCATCTTTCTGCGCATGCGCTGCAAAGCATGCCTGTCAAGACAGCAGAATGAGCCTTTGCACAGTCTTGTTCGCACATTGCAATTGAAAAACACAGCTATTGTTGGTCCAGCCTCGACGTTCGGGTAGTGTGAAAAGACCTGTCGTCGGAATGTTGTCAGCTCCTCCAGACTAGTTCGACGGAGATACTCACTTGGGCTATCAACCCGTACCATTCGCACTAGCCAGCGTCCTGATGTTGAACACCAACGATGCGCATCACCTGACTCGGCTACTTCTATTTTTGTCACAATGCTGCAGTTCATCCTGGCTGTTCATACATTGACATGAGCCAGTGACAATTGTCCAGTCTCCTTTTCCAGACTGGGTGAGAAAACACTCCTCCTCCAAACTTGTCCAAGATGCAAGGTTGTAGAGCGAGATCCCAACTTCATCGGTTTCCTCCACACTCTTTACCGATGACCCTGCCAGCCTTGGTGCAAAGTCATTCAGAATGCTTTCCTGGCCCGGCCCTATGCAGTCCATTGCAGTCCTATGCACTCAGCATTCCGGCTAGTGCAAGCGCCAAGCGGCAGCTTGAAAAGAAAGCCAGCATCAGCACGTTGATTTTCGTAGGCATTCTTGAAGCCCTCTGCAGACTCTGCATCTCTGGCCTGGAAGCAAAGGATCGAAGGATTCTCTTTTTATGGACGGCTGCCAATTAGAGAGGATTGCGGCATTCCGCGTGCCAAAAAGGGCCATACGACACAATTAGATTCACACTGCTATGTTTACAAACATTTGCATCGGGACCACTTTTGAAGATTGCAAGGCACCTGCATGCAAAGCTCCATGTAGGCACGGACAAACTCTATCTGCCCAAATGCACCACTCTCATCCTGCAAATTGAAGCAACTCAAGGGAAAGATGGATTAGATCGCTGTGAGGATTCGAATGTATACCCTTTTGTTTCAAAGACCTGTAATTAAGTTTCGTAGTGAGAAGAAAGCGCAAACAGACTTCAGGCTATTGCCGTGCTGCCAGAACAAGGATCTCCATGTTCCCAACCCATTGCCCCAAGTGCACTCCTTGTCAAGCCAGCGGAAGCCTTTCAAGAAAGTCTTCAGTCTCTGCAAAAGCAGTTGACCAAAATTTGCCCACAAAAGGTCGATCTCACGTACCTTGCTTCAGGAAAAAAACTTGGAAAATGGGTGGATGGTGATGGAAGTCCGGAGCCTCCAAAGTTCAGCAAATAGCCTAGATTCATGTAGATTTCAAAATGTTAACACCTGCCTGTACTTCAAGTGTAAGACTTCCAATATATTATTATATGAGCTCATATAAATATATGCTGCGATTAAAATCAGAGTCACACTCTGAACAAGTCTTCTGACAAGCTGCCAAGGCCTGCAAGATCCAGCGTTTCAACGTCAAAGGTGTCTTTGCACCCAGTAACTCTTCCACTTTGCCACCAACAAGCAAGAAGGTGCTGGACAAAAGGTTCAGCAGCAGGTCCTGGGATGCAACTTTGAGCCGAGCTCGGACAACTTTGACGAAATTCACCATGGCTGGCTTGGATCATGGTGCATCAATGATGCATCAATGGTACAATGGATAGCGAGCCAAGGCTCAGAAGCATTCGGATGTTCCAAGTGCTGGCGCAAATGCTGCAGCATTGACACCTTTGGAGACAGGGTCAGCGAATTTTTTGTGCACTGCATGGGAAGGCAAAAGAGTCAAAGAGGCTCCTTGGTTTTCAGTCTCCAGTGAATAAGATTAAGACTGTTACTCAGGAAATGTGCTCTGATGATACACAATGTCTGAAAGTTCATGTACGGTTCTGAAAAGAACATCTTCCTAGGTCCCTTACAGCTTCTGTTTTTGAATTAGATTAGATTGCTCGGGACCATCAGGTGCATTGCAACGCTGTGACCATCTCTGCGCCACAACTATTATAGACTATAGCACATCTGCCAGAGCTGTCATGCAGCACACAGACCTACCTAGTAGTACAACGTTTGTGGATGTTTGCGGTCCGTCCTGATTCGCCGGTCGTCTCCTGGAGTATCTGCAAAAGCCCAGGGTCCCGTGTCAGCCAGGATATTAATCCGAAAAGACGCCAGGGCACCACCGACTCTTCGTCTCTGCTCACAGCGTTCATGCCTGCTTCCAAGGCCGTGAGAACCTGATTCAAGATGATTCAAGGAATTTCAAAGCCAGTCTTTCGAGAACTTTCCAGAACACCTTTTCCTGATGCTATTCTGGACTCAAAATTCAAGCTACAGCAGCTACACATAAATCCTAGAGAGACTTCTACTGCACACACACCCTCAATCACGCATCCTCAATCACATCCGGAAGATTCCGGAAGTACATCCTCAAATAAATCTTAAATATGACAATGGAGATGTGGTTCTGTTTGAAACAAGGCCGTCCTGTCGCATGGGTGTGGGGATAGAGGCCCTGGATGAAGGCCAGGGCAGATTCCGGATCTCCTGTGGATGGATGCAAACTGAAAGCACAACCAAACGCAGCCAAACATTGGGCCAAACATTGGGCCAAACATAGCAAATCTTTCTCAAATGATGCAAAATGATGCAAAATGATGCAAATGTTGATTGTCTTTGGCACACCTCGGACTGCAAGGACTCTTCGAGTGCCTCCCATCAAACACATGAACACCTCTGGTTTGGCAACGCAGCGCAACCTTGCCTGCATCGCCAAGGCCACATCGGCCACATCTCCAAAGATTTGCGACATGGTGGAGACGTGGCCACTTTGATTTTCCCATCCGGTCTCCAACTCTATGCAGAAGTCAAGGCATTGAGTGTCTGTGAAAATAAAAATACAAATAATCCGGTTTGTACAGGAACAGTTCACGGTTTGAAGTCTCTAAGTCCCTTGGTCTATGAAAGATTGAGTGTGTGGTTGCATTTCTCGGTCAAGGTTCTACCATGCCAAACTATCCGAACTAATGATAATGAGTCAAGGATGATTTCTTGTATTGAAAAGTGATACTCAAAATAACGCGCGTGATGCCAAGAAAATTGCATGTTTCCCGTTCAGGTCCACGTGTTGTATGTTTGTTTTCATGAATCTTCCTCACATGGTGTAACAGCCGATATTCTCCAAAATGGGCAAAATGGGCTGCCAGTCAAGTCCTCCCGCGAGCCCTTCCGGCATCGTCGATCTTCGCAGGTCAATAAGAAACACTGACACTTAGTGTCTGCAATATGCCTGTCTTGTTCTTGTTCTTAAGTTCTTCATGTGTTTCTCTGCCCCGGCTTTTTTCTTCTACGCATCATTGGCAATGCCACGCGGGCAGAACACTCTCGGGTTGATGCATCCAGAGGTACACACCTATGAATCCATGAACATAGTGGACAGATGTGGACAGTGGACAGACTCAAATTGACTGAGTTGACTGAAAGTCACAGATTCGGATGCTCGGATGCTAGACCCGTGAAAGCTCTCTTTCACATTGGCTTCAGGACTCTCGCTCTAGCAAGCCCTGCCAATCCCATACATGTCCAGCACAGTGTTCCAAAGTCCCAAGCAGTACTTGCTTGAAAAGCATACGTAGGCTCAACAAGGTCAACATGTTTGTAACATTTTGTAACCATTATATCCGCCGACCCCGGCCGACGCAAGGGGGAGCGCGTAAGGGAAGAAGATGGAAATTAGGTGGTGTTTTGCTGTTTCGGAAGCGTTTCGAAACAGTAGGCCCAGCCATAATATTGTTTAGGCGATTCTGGGGGATTCGGCCGAAACAGCTGGCCCAGCTACCGGAGATTCTGGGGGATTCGGCTGAAACAGTTGGCCCAGCTAGGATTCTCGAAGTAGGATCTAAACTAGGATCTAGATCTAGGATTCTCTAGGATTTCAGAAGGGACGTTAGGCAGGTTTCTGTAATATTGTTTAGGCGATTCTAGGGATTCGGCCGAAACAGCTGGCCTAGCTACCGGAGATTCTGAGGGATTCGGCTGAAACGGCTGGCCCAGCTAGGATTCTCGAACTAGGATCTAAACTAGGATCTGGATCTAGATCTAGGATCTGGATCTAGATCTAGGATTCTCTAGGATTTCAGAAGGGACGTTAGGTAGTTTTCTGCCGCGATTTTTCGTTATTTTCGGCACGAAATTAGGTGGTGTTTTGCTGTTTCGGAACCGCTTCGAAACAGCAGGCCTAGCTGTAATATTGTTTAGGAGATTCTGGGGGATTCGGCCGAAGCAGCTGGCCTAGCAAGGATTCCCGAAGCCGCGATTTTTCGTTATTTTCGGCACGAAATTAGGTGGTGTTTTGCTGTTTCGGAACCGCTTCGAAACAGCAGGCCTAGCTGTAATATTGTTTAGGAGATTCTGGGGGATTCGGCCGAAGCAGCTGGCCTAGCAAGGATTCCCGAACTAGGATCTAGATCTAGATCTAGGAATCTAGGATAGATCTAGAGATCTAGATCTAGGATTCTCTAGGATTTCAGAAGGGACGTTAGGCACTTTTTTGGCGTGGTTTTGGAACTAGTTCGTCCTTCAGAGCCATGGTGTTTCCTGCCGGGAGCTGCTTTTATGCTTTTTTCGAAGTTGTTTTCGGAAAAAGGTTGTTTTTCTAGGATTTCAGAAGGGACGTTAGGCACTTTTTGGCGTGGTTTTGGAACTAGTTCGTCCTTCAGAGCCATGGTGTTTTCCTGCCGGGAGCTGCTTTTATGTTTTTTTCGAAGTTGTTTTCCTGCGAGCGGGCGCAGGCAACAGAAATTCTCGAAAAATTTTGTTTTTCTAGGATTTCAGACGGGACGTTAGGCACTTTTTTGGCGTGGTTTTGGAACTAGTTCGTCCTTCAGAGCCATGGTGTTTTCCTGCCGGGAGCTGCTTTTTTCGAAGTTGTTTTCCTGCGAGCGGCCGCAGGCAACAGAAATTCTCGAAAAAGGTTGTTTTATGTTGTTTTTCTATGTTGTTTTATGTTGTTTTTCTAGGATTTCAGAAGAGACGTTAGGCACTTTTTTGGCGTGTTTTTGGAACTAGTTCGTCCTTCAGAGCCATGGTGTTTTCCTGCCGGGAGCTGCTTTTATGTTTTTTTCGAAGTTGTTTTCCTGCGAGCGGGCGCAGGCAACAGAAATTCTCGAAAAATGTTGTTTTTCTAGGATTTCAGACGGGACGTTAGGCACTTTTTTGGCGTGGTTTTGGGACTAGTTCGTCCTTCAGAGCCATGGTGTTTTCCTGCCGGGTGCTGCTTTTTTCGAAGTTGTTTTCCTGCGAGCGGCCGCAGGCAACAGAAATTCTCGAAAAAGGTTATTTTTCTAGGATTTCAGACGGGACGTTAGGTACTTTTTTGGCGTGGTTTTGGAACTAGTTCGTCCTTCAGAGCCATGGTGTTTTCCTGCCGGGAGCTGCTTTTTTCGCAGTTGTTTTCCTGCGAGCGGCCGCAGGAAAACAGAAATTCTCGAAAAAGGTTGTTTTTCTTGGATTTCAGACGGGACGTTAGGCACTTTTTTGGCGTGGTTTTGGAACTAGCTCGTCCTTCAGAGCCATGGTGTTTTCCTGCCGGGAGCTGCTTTTTTCGCAGTTGTTTTCCTGCGAGCGGCCGCAGGCAACAGAAATTCTCAAAAAAGGTTGTTTTTCTAGGATTTCAGACGGGACGTTAGGCACTTTTTTGGCGTGGTTTTGGAACTAGCTCGTCCTTCAGAGCCATGGTGTTTTCCTGCCGGGAGCTGCTTTTTTCGAAGTTGTTTTCCTGCGAAAAAGGTTGTTTTTCTAGGATTTCAGACGGGACGTTAGGCACTTTTTTGGCGTGGTTGTGGAACTAGTTCGTCCTTCAGAGCCATTGTGTTTTCCTGCCGGGAGCTGCTTTTTTCGAAGTTGTTTTCCTGCGAGCGGCCGCAGGCAACAGAAATTCTCGAAAAATGTTGTTTTCCTAGGATTTCAGAAGGGACGTTAGGCACTTTTTTGGCGTGGTTTTGGAATGTTTTGGAACTAGTTCGTCCTTCAGAGCCATGGTGTTTTCCTGCCGGGAGCTGCTTTTTTCGAAGTTGTTTTCCTGCGAGCGGCCGCAGGCAACAGAAATTCTCGAAAAAAGTTGTTTTCTGGGATTTCAGACGGGACCGGCCGACGCAAAGGGGAGCTGCCCGCAGGCAGCAGCAGGCAGCAGGCAGCAGCAGGCAGCAGCAGACACAAGCAGACGCAGCAGCAGTAAGCGCAATGGTAGCAGTGCAGCAGCTAGCAGCACGAAAAATTGTGTTTTTCTAGGATGGCACTAATGGGTGTCAAGAACGTGGGCAAAAGCACGCAAAAGGTGCACATAGCCAGTAGCTAGCAGCCAGCGCCAGTAGCAGCCAGCAGCCAGTAGCCAGCAGCCTACCAAAAATCTAATCTAGATTTTTCTAGGATTTCAGACGACACGTTAGGCACTTTTTTGGCGTGGTTCTGGCACTCGCTCGTCCTTCAGAGCCCTGGTGTTTTCCCCCCGGGGAGGTGATTTTTTCGAAGTTGTTTTCCTGCGAGCGGCCGCAGGCAACAGAAATTCTCGAAAAAGGTTGTTTTTCTAGGATTTCAGACGGGACGTTAGGCACTTTTTGGGCGTAGTTTTAGAACTAGTTCGTCCTTCAGAGCCATGGTGTTTTCCTGCCGGGAGCTGCTTTTATGCTTTTTTCGAAGTTGTTTTCGGAAAAAGGTTGTTTGTCTAGGATTTCAGAAGGGACGTTAGGCACTTTTTTGGCGTGGTTTTGGAACTAGTTCGTCCTTCAGAGCCATGGTGTTTTCCTGCCGGGAGCTGCTTTTATGTTTTTTTCGAAATTGTTTTCCTGCGAGCGGGCGCAGGCAACAGAAATTCTCGAAAAATGTTGTTTTTCTAGGATTTCAGACGGGACGTTAGGCACTTTTTTGGCGTGGTTTTGGGACTAGTTCGTCCTTCAGAGCCATGGTGTTTTCCTGCCGGGTGCTGCTTTTTTCGAAGTTGTTTTCCTGCGAGCGGCCGCAGGCAACAGAAATTCTCGAAAAAGGTTGTTTTATGTTGTTTTATGTCGTTTTTCTAGGATTTCAGAAGGGACGTTAGGCACTTTTTTGGCGTGGTTTTGGAACTAGTTCGTCCTTCAGAGCCATGGTGTTTTCCTGCCGGGAGCTGCTTTTTTCGAAGTTGTTTTCCTGCGAGCGGCCGCAGGCAACAGAAATTCTCGAAAAAGGTTGTTTTTCTAGGATTTCAGACGGGACGTTAGGTACTTTTTTGGCGTGGTTTTGGAACTAGTTCGTCCTTCAGAGCCATGGTGTTTTCCTGCCGGGAGCTCCTTTTTTCGCAGTTGTTTTCCTGCGAGCGGCCGCAGGCAACAGAAATTCTCGAAAAAGGTTGTTTTTCTTGGATTTCAGACGGGACGTTAGGCACTTTTTTGGCGTGGTTTTGGAACTAGCTCGTCCTTCAGAGCCATGGTGTTTTCCTGCCGGGAGCTGCTTTTTTCGCAGTTGTTTTCCTGCGAGCGGCCGCAGGCAACAGAAATTCTCGAAAAAGGTTGTTTTTCTAGGATTTCAGACGGGACGTTAGGCACTTTTTTGGCGTGGTTTTGGAACTAGCTCGTCCTTCAGAGCCATGGTGTTTTCCTGCCGGGAGCTGCTTTTTTCGAAGTTGTTTTCCTGCGAAAAAGGTTGTTCGTCCTTCAGAGCCATGGTGTTTTCCTGCCGGGAGCTGCTTTTATGCTTTTTTCGAAGTTGTTTTCGGAAAAAGGTTGTTTTTCTAGGATTTCAGAAGGGACGTTAGGCACTTTTTTGGCGTGGTTTTGGAAC